TTGAAAGTTTTTTAAAGAGGTGGTATTCTGCTCATTTTCAGGTTCAAATTCTTATTTAGGGGTTGTAAAAGAACAGGTTTACATGGTTTACACCATATTTTTCTCATGGTGCACATTGCTGCAGCTGGACGCTCCGCTCTTGAGCTACAGAGTGATGCATCTTACTTGTACAAAATCTTTGTTGGGAGTTGCACATGCGCAGTTCCCAGAAGCAGAGAAGGGCGGGTCGTAAGAAACAAAGTAGTGTGATCCAAATCAAAGCCGCTTCAGACTGTGACCGTAACCTAGCAGATGGTAGAAGTTACTCACAAGTCCAAAACATCATGTTCCACATCTTACCATAAACCACTACAGAAATCACCATATCTCAGCTCAATTTTATATAAAAGTTGGCCAAACTATTTGAACATTTACTCAGTAGCTTTCACATCAGGTGTAACATTAGCATTATAGCTATAACTTTAGCTGCGTTAGCCAACGTTTACAACAACTCCGCACTTGAACAGTCTGTGAAGTTACATTGCCGTGTTTATTTTAAATATAATTCACAACCAATAAAGCAAACTTACAGGTTGTGATTGTGAATTTCCAGAGTTGCATCGTCTTTTAGGACTAAACGTTGAACTGTTGCCGGTGTTTTGACGATCTGTGCTGCCTTGCAAAAAAATGCTACCATAGCGCAAATCGATAGACTCGACTCTACTCGGCCCTGCTCCGTTTTCCATTGCAGATAGTACCCAGAGATAGTAAGTAGCTTGTCGTCATAGCGACGCCACACACAACTGCCGCGACATAATGTTCAATGCGACACACACACCAGCGACCCACACAGCTTTCTCTTTTTTAAACTAAAATGTTTGAACCTTATGTATGAAAAGCTTCCAGCTGTGTTTTCCTCTGCCGTTGCTGCAGTGGTCTGTGTGACGGCGGGAGCAGAGGGCTCTGTGAGCGGGCGGCTGGCCGGCCTCACGCGCTCCTCCCGCGGGTCACAGCAGGCTTCCCCCGCCGACCAATCAGCAGTCTGTCCTGTTTTCACGTTACATTTTAGTAGGTTGTTTAGGTTGCAATGTTACCAGAGCCAAAATTAACAGATAAACAATATAATATCTATGCAGTGACGAATGCGGCTGTTAAAATCGCATGGACTGAGCGTGTGCAGGCTTTTGTACAGTTTATGGTGCGGGCACATAAGGGAAAAAAAATGTGTGATCTTGTTTCTTTTGGTGGGTTGCTTGCGTGTTTGGCTCCAAGCAAAACTATAGAAATAGTACATTTTTGCCACGATGTGGTTACAAAAAGTATCAACTGAAGCACTGCTTTGACTGGAAACTTTTCGATTCTACTTGATACTGGGATGTTTTGGTTGCTACCATAAAGGTATCGAGAAGCGATATCCATCCCTTATTGTCTGGCTATTGCATGCATCTGTCTTTCTCTCTATTCTCCATTAGGTTGAACTGTCTGTTTTTAATCTAAACTGAGAGACTAAATTGGATGTTGCACAAATTTTAAAGCCCTTGATTTTGGCAGTATAAACAAATGACTTGACTGTTGGATGTACTATGTGTTTGAAAAGTCCTGACTAACACGTAATGCAGAAAAGCTGCGTCAACATGGTTTTAGTCTTCACTGCCAGTCAATGGAAGACATTTAAAAGTTGATAAATAATGTATCAGACTGGTTTTTGAAGTACACTAGCTAAGGTTGGACTGATGAAACATGTAGAAATGTGTCAGCAAGGTTGAAAATGATTTCATGCATCTCATGGCGTTTTCACATTGAAGTTGAAGTGTGAAACTCCTTCGTCTCTGGCAGCTGCTCCGCCGAGTGCAGACGTGGGAAACTTTTCACCTTTCACCTCCTTTGAACTCTGTGTTCAGGGGGTGAATATGTGGAACTCCTCACCACAGAACTCAGCATGGATCGTAACTAAGATCATTTCTCTTACATGTTTTAAATCCCAAGTAAGTTATTTAGCCCGCAGAAAAGCAAGAAAAGGAGTAGAGAAAGAATTCAAACTATATAATATAAGAGAGGCCTTACAAGGTTGTTTATTCATCATCATACAAGACAACTCAGTCAAGATGGACTATTGTTCAGATGAAACTTTCATATGATCGTCTTGTTGCTGCTGTTTACATTCTCCCCAGATGCAAATTAAAAAAAATGCACTGGGATGTTCTGGGTGGATTCGTATATGTATAGAAATAGCTAACTGTATGTTGTTTTATTTCATTTTTCATTTATGTTACCATATCTTAATATAAATGTGATTATCTGTTAAGCTCTGTGTCTGTAGCAGGAAGAGACTACAAACTTTATTTTATTTTGTTATACGACCTTGTGTTGTATAACAATAAAGTATAAATACATCGAAAATTAAATTTAATTACATCTGGGCCGACCAGAAAGCAAACATGGAGAAAAAACATCCAGTGTTCTCGGGACTTTAACAGAGCAAACCTCAGTCGTGACCTCTAAAAGTACAGACAGCATATTAGTTAGGGATGCACCGAATGTTCGGCCACCAAAATTAATCTGCCGAAAATGGCAAAAAAAAATCACTTTCGGTGTTCGGCCTAATAAGTCAAAAGACCGAATAGTCGTCAGTGTGGAAGCATCCAAGTCTCCCAGCACATCCACTCTATCTGTGGCTGACTTCTTAGAAAAGAACCTCTTTGAGTGTTTCTGTCACTCGTCTGTGAGAAGGAGATTAAGCTAGCCGCACCTAAATTTGGAGTGCGCACTTATTCAAGCCTTTATGGTAACTGAAACAGCCCAGGGCGATCAGGCACAGGTACATGATGGAAATAAGATTGGATTATATTCACAGAAAGTATAAAACATATTACATGTGTCCATTAAAAGGAAATGGACTCATGTAATTTACTTTACCGGACCCTCTGGGGCCCCGGACCCGCCCCCCCACCACCACCACCACCATAGTCTCTCTAAATACTGTAGGAAACACTGAGTAAAAAGCCCATTTTGACTATTTGATTTATGCAGCGGTAAAAAAAAAAAGGGAAAATAAAAGGGAAAAAAATGTGAATGTAATTGTTCAGTATTCTGCAATTTTTTTCATTATATTCGGCTTCGGATTTTCATTCATTTTGCTGCATCCCTAATATTAGTGTCCCACCAGGGAAACTAACACACCAGACCACTGCTACACAACATTAAAGGACGCGTGTCGCTTTGTTCCCCGTGCAGCCCTGGGACTCTCCGATCGCTGTCTGGTTCTGTGTGGTTTCTGTGGTTGGAAGATGGACCAACATGTCAAAACTGGATTTACAGGCCTGCCTTGATTCTACTGGTGGGAGTGTTTTTGAGGCTGCAGCCAAAGACCTGGATGATCTAACTGACATTGTGACATGTTGCATCAGCTTTTGTGACGACACATGTGTTTCGACCAAAACCTTTTGCACATACAACAACAATAAACCCTGGTTTACAGTGAAAAGAGCTTTTCAGATGGCGACTCTGCATCAGCATGGAAATGCCTGCTAATGCCTGTTAGGACTTGGAAACCGGAAGGTCGCCGAATCGAGTCAAGCCCGAACCAATGGCGAAGGTGTCCCCTGACCAAGGCCCTGAACCCCAAACCGCTCCCCGGGCGCCGTACCATGGCAGCCCTCTGCTCCTAAATAGGATGTGTTAAATGCAGAGAACTAATGTCCCCTTCCTTTTATCATCAAGAAGGCCCAGCAGAGGACTTCCTGCTGATCCACTTCTACACAGCCATCATCCAGTCTGTCCTCTGCACCTCCATCACTGTTGAAAAAGGACAGGAGCAGACTACAACGGACAGTCAGGACTGCAGAAAACCTGCCCTCCATTCAGGACTTATACATTTCCAGAGTCAGGAAACAGGCAGGAAACATCAGTGCAGATCCATCTCACCCCGGACACAACCTGTTCCAGCTCCTCCCCTCTGGATGGCGCTACAGAGCACTGTACGCCAAAACCAAGAGACTCAGGAACAGTTTCTTCCCACAAGCCATCACTCTGATGAACAGCTGATTTCTGACTCACAGTGTCAGGAACAATCCCAGTAACTCTGCCTCTAATCAGCCACCTGTTTACTGGTTTCCACTTATTATTTATTTATTCACCATTCTCTATTTCAGAGCTGTTCCCAAGTTCCCATCAGAGTCCAGTGTTCTTGGGGTTTTTCTGAACAGGTATCAGCAGAAACATTTTTCTTTTATCAAGGAGCAGCATAAAGGTCTTTTCACATGGGAAGCGACGCTCTGCCTGCGTGGTCGCCTGGCCCCACGGGGTCGCTCTGCGCCTCTCATGCGAACAGACAAGGAGACAAGTGCTCCATAGATAGTGACCACAGCTTCTGTGTGCTACACAGCTGTAGCCTATTTAATTTTATACCCCATATACCATAATTAATAAGACAATTATGAAATTATAAATCTAGAGAACTAAAAAATCTATGCTGAAAGAAAAATACATATTCAAATATAATTATATTCACATAAGTTTATTAACACAAACACAATACACATACATCAAATAATTCAATAGATCCATTGTATTTTTCTGTACCTCTGGAATATGATTTCTTTGAACATCTTTTTAGAACGGAATGTGTTTGGACATCATTTAGTTTATTCCACAATTAAATGCCACTGACAGAATAAACAGAAACTTTTCCTGGTTGTTCGAAAGCTGATTTTCCACTTAAGTCGTAATCCCCCTTCTCTTTCAGAAAACCTTTTCTGTATTTTAACCAGGCAACAGATAGTTTCCAGGCCATTAAAAATAATTATCTACCTTGTACTTATTTAGGCTAGTTAATAAAGTTTTATTCATATTTTTATATCTTGTTTCTTTTTTTGTTGTTGTTGCATTCCTCCATGATTTACTCTAAATATTGCGCCATACATTTAACTACTTAAATTACAGTTAAATTGTGAAATAAAGATATTTTAGGGGGGAGGAAGTCCGAGTGGCGGAACGTTTATCTGCTGGACAAAGTTCCTGTTGGAGGTGTTTTTAAGTTGAACGGTAACTTCCGGCAAGTGAGTAGTTAGTGTGAAAGGTGAAAGTGTTTGTGTTTATTCTTGAAATCTTTTGTCGCTTTTTTGAGTTTTACACAGAGCCCCCACTAGATGATGTATTTTTTTTAAAGGCGAGTAACACGACACGGGCTCTGTCTAATCAAACCCGGAAGCTGAAGACGGTGTTGACCAGTTAGCTAACGTTAGCACAGTAGCTAACCGGCTAGCTGCCCCAGCTGACTCCAGAGGCTCCGGAGACCCAGAAGCTGGACGCTCGGCATCGGACAGTTAAGCTTAAAGCTTCACCAGTCGGTATTACTAACGTTTCTCCTGTAGCCATAACGGAGAAAATACATTTTTCATGTGTGCACTGGGGCCGCTTTCGACATTTTAATGGGAGGCGGCTTGCTTTGGAGGATTGGACATTGCGGGCGCCAGTTGCGAAGAAAGCGGAGGTCCTGGCTACCTGTCGGGCGCAGATGGAGTCTCTGGCCGGCTACGTGTACAAGGCAGCCAGCGAGGGCCGAGTCCTGACCCTGGCCGCGCTGCTGCTCAACCACTCGGAGGCGGAGACCCAGTATCTGCTGAGCTATGTGACCCAGCTGGCCGGGCAGAGGTCCACTCCTCTGATCATCGCGGCCCGGAACGGACACGACAAAGTGGTCCGGCTGCTCCTGGACCACTACAGGGTGGACACCGAGCAGACCGGGACGGTTCGCTTTGACGGGTAAGAGCTGCCAGGTTAAGTTTCTTACACTTTAACCTCCTGTGGGTTTGGTGACATGAAGAAAACTTTGCAGTTATTCGTCCAGGTTTTGAGATTTCTATCAAATTTTTTGTGTAAAAGTGTGCAGTTTTTTAATCAAAGTGCTCCTATACGGCATTATTCTTCCAATTTGATGACCTATACCTCACGTCTCTGACCCCCACACCACAGGAGGTAAACAAACACAATCACCATTTCATGCAAACAGAAATAAGCAAAGCATAACAAAGAGAGAGACTCAGCAGCTTTGTACACTGACAGCATGTCACAGTATAAGTAGCCACCACCAGACAATAAAACCGATCATTTCTTTCTCAAAAAACATCTCTCTGTGTTGCTCTCAGCATGAAAAACAAAATTCAATAACATCTCTCCGGAAACGGCGTCCCTGTTGGGCCAACGCTGTAAACGGGATTCTACTTTCTATTAAAGAAACATTTGTCGCTTTGGAGACAAAGTTCAGACATAGATGAGCCCGTTTATCTTATCTTATTACACAGTGATCTATTCATTTGAAGATTATTATCTTGGTGGATTGATTAATCGCTTGGTCTGTGAGAGGGTCTGAGACTGTGCCCCCCCCCCCTTCAGGCCCGGGTCAAACTTTGAAAATCTCTGGTCTATGAAATGTTGGATAATAGTGAGAACTGTTTGTCTCTGGGGCTGAAACTAATGACAGAATAATCTGTCCATTTATTTCTTGATTAATCAAATACTTGTTCTATAAAATGATGGAAAATCAGTGTTTTCCAGAGTCCCAGACGACTGGCCTGCACTACGAAACGGGGTAACTGGCTTATCCAGGTAACTTCGTGACGTCGGGTGTAAATTCACGGTTATCCCGCACTACGAAAGGTGGATAAGTGTCTGTTGCCATGGCAATTTACCCTGCATCTCTAAACTTCTCCGAGCCGGTTTTGTTCGTGGTTAACTCGAGGTTCCCCTGCACGTGGACTCCACACCACATCTGTACTCAGTGTTACTGATGTGAAGTAGGATATTAATACACACCGCTCCATAAAACATGTTTAGATGTCTTCCTGATTTGTTTCACTGCGGCTGCACTGAAGTTCTGAACACAGCAGCATCACGTTCAGACAGCGAGCCCTGCAGCCGAGCAGAGGAATCTTAATTAATTAACAAGACAGTTTCTTAGATGGAGCCCATCTGTAGGCTATAATTGAATTCTCTGACGTGTTTTCACATATTTAGATTGACTATTTTATTGTCCAAAAAATAGGGAGCCAGAGTGGGGGAGGGAATAACCGAGGGGGGAAAAATCCTAGATAAAAGTGTGAAATTTACAAGAACAAAAGTCAGCATTTCCTGAAATTTATGATTAAAAATCACACTTCTGAATCCACGGCAAAGTCTCTAAGGTGCATGATAGTGATTGTGGGCTAAACTGCATAATACACGGCAGACGTGTGTGTGTGTGTGTGTGTGTGTGTGTGATGTTGCAGCCTTGCAGAGTGAAGTTTCTCTCATAAATGTGTGACTATAATGTCAGAGAATATTCAGGCTTTTACTTGTAGATTAATCTTGGAGATTAAATTTTCTCTCGGATTATTCCCCCTCTCCTCTGGCTCCTTTTTTTTTCTATTACAAAGGACCTTTACATCTTAATCATATTACACATAAAAAGAAGAGCCCGTAAAATACATAGTAGAGATTTGAACTACAGTCAGAACACTGAAGATAATTAGGCTACAAATTTACTCAATGCGAAGCCAACGAGCTTCCCTGGCTCTGTCGGCCGCCACGATATTTAGCCGTTAACGTGTCTTTACATTCATAATTTCCTGACACAATCAACATGCGTTCCTCTGGAGAAATACGGAGCATTCACCGTTGTGAAAAAACGTCCAGACAGACGTCCTCTGATGTCTTGTTTTGTCCACAAACCCTAAAAATATTCAGTTTACTATCACAGAGCAGCAAAAAAACCCAGGACATATAAACATTTAAGAAGCTGGAATCAGAATTTGGAATCTGAGAAGAAATGATTATCAAAATAGTTGGTTGATTAATTTAATAGTTAAGTTTATTTATAAAGCACATTTAAAAACAACCAGAGGTGACCAAAGTGCTAGAAAAAGGTATACGGTCGAAGACGTAAAAATTAAAACAGGCCAAACAAAACTGACATACAGCAATAAGATAGAAAAACAATAAGAGCGCTGGTGCCCTGAACAGACTCAAAGAATAAAAATGCGTTTTAAGATGAGACTTAAAAGTGTCGAAGGTGGGGGACGATCTAATGAGAGGTGGCTAAAAGGGATTGGTTTGATGATCTGAGGGCTCTGGAAGAGCGATAAAAGATTCGGAGTTCTTAAATATAAGATGGAATAGTTGACAACTTCTGGATTTGTCGTTGCAGCTCTTGTCTCAGTGTCCTGAAGCCCCAAGTGACGTCTTCAAATTACTTGTTTTGTTCAACCAACAGTCCAAAATGAGAGAGAACTGTGGAACCAATTGATTGATCATTTAAAATGGTTGCAGATTTAGTTTCTAACTGTTAACTATTTGACCGTTTCAGCTTTGAAACTCACTACGTAAAGTCTCCACCTCCACAACAGGAAGCTGTGTGATGCCTAATGCCCTGAGTCACTCTCAGGAACCTGTTTTTAAGTTGAATTTTAAAGGACCGCAGTACACAGACCTCACTGGGAACAGGTTTCACTGGAACTACTGTGTTCTGTGGATTGTCCAGAGAAACAGGGACATCGTGAAGTGAAGTGTAGAAGTGTATTTGTGATTCACTGACAGATGTTGCTGATATTTATTTGTCCAGCTCATTTATGACAATGAGGGCAGACTAAATATCGGAAAGAGCCCAAATTATAACGCACATAACTTTTTACTGTAGACATTAGCAGTTGGCTCAGAATGGGCCCTTGGGGGGTGACTTTGCGCGACAGTAAGCATGGCCGGTACGCGCACAGTAAAGGCAATGAGTTACCTTATGACCGAAATATTAGGGTTGGGCGATGTCTACGTTGAAACATCGGGATAGACGATGGCATCGGGGCGCCCCCTGTCTGGGTTTTTCTTAAGTTGAAAGGTGATCCAAATAAAATTTTAAAACGTTTGCGGCGTCTCTAAAGGGGGATTCGCAGTGTTGGTCTGGTCATGTCACTGAAAACTATGAATTGTGATAATTGATTTGAGTCATTCTCTGATTCCAGCTTCTTAAATGTGAATATTTTCTGGTTTCTCTGCCTCTCTGTGACCGTAAACTGAATATCTTTAGGGTTTGTGCACAAAACGACACACTTGAGGACGTCATCTTGGCATTTTTCACCATTTTCTGATGTTTTACAGACCAAACGACTGATCAATAAATCAAGAAAATAATAGTCAGATGAATAGACAATGAAAATATTTATTTGTTGCAGCCATACAGATCCACAGATTACAGCTGGGTATCAATACTAAACTAAAATATGTTTCATATGTTTTGAAAAACCTTGACTAGATGTATGTTATATTTCTCAGCGGAAGCTGTCAGCCTAAGAATTGTTTAGTATCTGTTAGGGTTGGGTATTCTTTGCATAAAATGACACCTGTTGAAGCCAAAGTAGTTGTTTTGGTGTCATTACTTCTTTTCTTTTCAAATAACTGTTAGATAAAAATATTGGGAAACTGGATCAGATCGCTCTCCGTCCTGATCAGGTTGTCCTCACAGCTAGTATCACCACAGGGAAGGACATGAAGGAGTTTATTGATCACTGAGTTGTTGTTGAAAACAAGTTGAAGTTAAGTTTTGGATCCATTTATGCGTTAAAGATTAAATGCATTTATTCCTGAGTGGTTTGCGTCTTGAAGACCAGAACAGGTTTCAGATTGAGACCAGGGTGTGCTGCACTTGAAAGTCACATCCTGAATGTTGTAAAGTTGAAGTCTCTCTCCTGTCTGTCCTGCAGCTACGTCATCGACGGGGCCACAGCGCTGTGGTGTGCAGCTGGAGCGGGGCACTTTGAGGTGGTGCGCCTGCTGGTGAGTCACCGTGCCAACGTTAACCACACCACGATCACCAACTCCACCCCCTTGCGGGCCGCCTGCTTCGACGGGCGCCTGGACATCGTCCGCTACCTGGTGGAACACAACGCCGACATCAGCATCACCAACAAGTACAACAACACCTGTCTGATGATCGCAGCCTATAAGGGCCACACAGATGTCGTGAAGTTCCTGCTGGAGCAGGGGGCGGATCCCAACGCCAAGGCCCACTGTGGGGCCACTGCCCTGCACTTTGCAGCTGAGGCGGGCCATCTGGAGATTGTAAAAGAGCTGGTGCGCTGTCAGGCCGCCATGGTGGTGAACGGACACGGCATGACGCCGCTGAAGGTCGCTGCGGAGAGCTGCAAAGCAGACGTGGTGGAGCTGCTGCTGGCGCACGCCGACTGCGACCCGTGCAGCCGCATCGAGGCCCTGGAGCTGCTGGGCGCCTCGTTCGCCAACGACCGGGAGAACTACGACATCCAGAAGACGTACCACTACCTGCAGACGGCCATGACGGAGCGCTACTGTGACCCAGAAAACGTCATCGACAAGGAGCTGCTGCCGCCCATCGAGGCCTACGGGGGGCGCTGTGAGTGCCGGACACCCCAAGAACTGGATGCCATCCGCGTGGACAGGGACGCTCTGCACATGGAGGGGCTGATGATTCGGGAGCGCATCCTGGGTTCAGACAATATCGACGTGTCGCACCCCATCATATATCGTGGCGCCGTCTACGCTGATAACATGGAGTTTGAACAGTGCATCAAACTGTGGCTTCACGCGCTCCGTCTGCGGCAGAAAGGCAACCGGAACACGCACAAGGACCTGCTGCGCTTCGCCCAGGTCTTCTCCCAGATGGTCCACCTGAAGGAGCAGGTTTTGGCCTCAGCCGTGGAGCAGGTGTTGAGCTGCAGCGTGGTGGAGATTCAGCGAAGCATGGCCCGAGTGGAGACGGCGGCTGAACCAGAGCTGCCGCAGGCCTTGGACAGTTACGAGTCAAACGTTTTTACCTTTCTGTACCTCGCCTGCATTTCTACCAAGACGACCTGCGGCGACGAGGAGCGCGCCCGCATCAACAAGCACATCTACAACCTGATCCAGCTGGACCCGCGGTCCCGTGAAGGCTCCTCTCTGCTCCACCTGGCCATCAGCTCCACCACACCGGTCGACGACTTCCACACCAACGACGTCTGCAGCTTCCCCAGCGCGCAGGTCACCAAGCTGCTGCTGGACTGCGGCGCGCAGGTCAACGCCGTCGACCACGAAGGCAACACCCCGCTGCACGTCATCGTCCAGTACAACCGGCCCATCAGCGACTTCCTCACGCTGCACGCCATCATCATCAACCTGGTGGAGGCCGGCGCCCACACGGACATGACCAACAAGCAGAAGAAGACCCCTCTGGACAAGAGCACCACCGGCGTGTCGGAGATCCTGCTGAAGACGCAGATGAAGATGAGCCTCAAGTGCCTGGCGGCGCGCGCCGTCCGGCAGCACCAGATCACCTACCGCAACCAGATCCCCAAAACGCTGGAGGAGTTCGTGGAGTTCCACTGAAACGGACCTGAGAGCTGAAGCATCAACACGAACCAATGACAGACAGACTTTGTTGTTTTTAAAGAATTTCTTATAATTTTCTAACAAGTCCAAACGGTGCTGAGGATGATGGTCCAGTACTAAAGCTTTTATAAAAGAACCTGGTCGGCTTTTTTCCTCGAGTATTAATTGCTAAAAACCAGACGGCAGTCCGTCGGCCTGTCTGCGTCTCCGGGGCCGCTTGGTCACCGCGAGACGTCCGAGGAAACTGCAGCAGGTTGGTGCAGAGAGAGGACGGCAGCGACGCCACGCCGCTGCTTCTTGTTTTGCCTTATGTTCATGGCCGTCACGCACGCCATGTTACTGTGATTCCACAGTCTGAGTGAATGAGAGAGTGAGTGTCTGCAGAGAAGCAGCCGACCTCGAGCGTTCACCCCGCAGATCAGCCGTCACACATATCGTTATTTTTTAATATGAGAAATAGTTTTCACTGGGTTTGAGGGTTGAGGAAGGACGGCAGAATAAGGACACGTGATCTGATCTGGACAGAATTTATACTAACAAACAATCGGGATTTTCAGGAAGTTTATTTTTAAAAGTTTGCTGGTATTTGTTTTTCTCTCGGGCCGTTTCAGTGAAACTGCACTATGTGGCGTAACGTATGCAGACACTTGCTTCTGATCTGGGGCTGATTTTCCTGATTCCTCCTCCTCAGTTGTAATGAAGGGAAATCTTAAAGCTCCAGCATGAAATGATGCTTGAGATGGCTGCTTCCAAACCTTTGTGTGACCTCTCTTCACAGGTTTTGATATGTCTGTGATTCCAGACTGGATAATAAAAAAAAGAAGTGACTTTTCCCCCAAACTGTTTATTTGACAGAGAAATGGTGAAAGTATCTTTATAATTATGTAAAATGTTTTTAATTCTCTCCCATCTTGTGACCCCTCAGATTTATTTATTTAGCAGTTTTGGACGGTAGTGTTCTTCCGGCTTTGTCCCCTTTTCTGTTTTAATATGAAAGTCCACAAAGAGCTGTTCCTTTTTATGGTTTAAGAAAAAAAGTCTTGAGTCAAACGCTGGTCAAAATGTTGGGGAGGTGCGTGGATTTCACACCACGGGGTGGAGCAGCACATTGATGTCTGTAGTGTCCACATACTTTTGGCCATGTAGTGTACTTTTCCTTGCGATTGAAACTATAAACCAAATATTTCCTGGACACGGTGCGGTCGTTTGATTGACACCATAGATGCGCGTACGTGAGCTTTTATTTTGAAAGGTGTATCTGAGGATGTGAGTACAGAAACTACGAATGTTCTTCCAGACGGAAATCCATATTTTAACTTGCAGTTCTTATTTCTTTTTTTAATAAACGGTCAAGTCCTGGAGGTGGAGGACGAGGTCACCAGGTTTACATGTTTCCCACAGTGCTGCTGCAGCTTTAGCTTGGGTCACCAGGAAGAGGTTTAAATGCTTCGCGTGTGTGACAGGATTCAGTTTTATTAGGTCCATGTGAGGTCCTGTTCTGTTGCCAAAGGGTCTGACGCCGGAGTGGATCTGATCACATGGTTTGTCTTCATCATTGCTGAATTTTACTTTCTGCTGCTGGAGGTGAAAATAGGACTTTAAATTTGTTTCTGAAGCATAAAGATGTTTTGAATGATTTTGTTCGACCTCACTTTATTGATTATTTATTTATTTGTCGGCATGTCCAGCTGCTGCCAGTGTCCTGTTGGTGGTGTTTTGGACCGGGTCCGACTGTCCTCGCCTCCCTTCAGGTTCTCTTTACTCTCCCGTCCAGTTCTGCTCTGTTTTCCGTGGGTCCGTTTCAGATGGTGTTTACTTCTAAACGCTGCAGCATTGTAGAGAAAGTAACTTTCCTTTCTGCTATTATCATCATAATTCTTATCATGATTTGAGTCACAGAGCGAATCATCTGTATTTCCACAGTATGAACAACCAGTGATCTTTGTGAAAACCCAGAGAGAGAAATGTATTTTGTTCTCTGCACAATAAAAAAAGATTTTTGACTCATTTCTCAAATCTCGTCTCCGTATGCAAACGAAGATGGCAGCAGGAAATGAGAGATGTACAGCGTGAAGCTTAGTGAGTGTAATAAGGAATGACAACATAGTTAAACAGATCAAATATATCTTCATAGAAGTTACTGTAGATTAATAAAATATCTTCATATCTGATTTCAACTGCAAACGTTTAAATATAATGCTGATAAATGGAGGTCTCAAGGAAAGCATTATTTGTCTGTGTAACATTGTTTTCTTTTATATTTTCATACAAAATAACATCATATGACACAAGAACGAAGATACGTTGCATCCATGGATAGGAAATATAGATGCAAAAAGTTTCTTCTGGTCTTTTATTGTGCAGCAGACTGAAGAGTCTTTGAGGACAACAACAGGAAGTGTTGTTTAACAGCCCTCTGGGGTTTTCACACACGGACAGGTAGTTATATTTAACAACAGGATTACATGAGAAGCACAAGGAGAACTGGGGGGGGGGGGGGGTGGTTATCAAACATCACCAGTTGTTCTTTGCTCTTTTTTTTCCAAACAACAAAATGTAAAAGACCCCGGGAAAACAGCAGGACGTCAGTCGAGTCCTTGTTGGGGATTATAAGTTTGTCTGGCAGTCTGCGTTTAGTTTGAAAAGTGAGCTTCTGTTGTGTGGAAAAAAAAAAACCTTGTTAATTCCCGAGTCTTCATGTTTGAGTCTGAAGGATTAGGAGCTCCTCTGAGGGCTGATTAATCTTTACCAGCCGCCGATCGCACATGAAACCCGCCGCAGTCGAGCTGAAAAACAAAGCCGTTTGCTCCGTCTTTCCTTTCTGTACATGTGGAAACCTGCGGGGAGGAAAAGTGCTTCTTCACCAAACAGACTCTCTGGTCGCAGGAGTGTTTCACCCAGTGCATCAGCTGACTTCTCAGTTCATCTTTCACGCCAGAGTCTAGTGAACCGTCACACCAGGCGGTTCATGTGTGTTCGGGCTCATCGCAGTCTGACTACGCAGCACTTCTTTCCTCCCAGCAGCAGGTGTTTCCCGCTAGTGCTTACACGATTAATCGATTAGTCAATAAGATGGAAATCTCTGACCGCAGTGTTGACAGTTGATTAAAGAATAGTTTGAGATTTTGGAAAATTCCCATATTTGCTGCCTGACGGAGAGTTCGATGTTCAGATTGATGCCACTGATGAAGAAATGGCCAGCCAGATAGCATGTTAATGTTTTTATATTCGTGTCGTGCCCTTGTTTCCAGGCTTTATGCTAAGCTAAGCTAACCAGCTGCTGTGGCATCCATCTGAGCCTGAACTCTCAGAGACCTTTAATTGTTTTTAAGTCATCTGTCAGTTAAGACTGTCTCTTATTATCGAGTTATCTGGAGATTATTTAGTTTAGATAACTGATTTTTAGTCTACAAAATGTCAGGAGATATTAAAAAATGTCCCTCACAGCTTCATGTTGCAGGTTTTTCCTTCAACCAACCAACTAAAATCCAAAAATAAAACAGAAAAGCTGCAGAAAGTCACATTTGAGAAGCTGGAACGAGAGAAAGTCCGTTTTGTTTCTTGATGAACGATCTGAACTAATCCATTCATAACATAATCGGTTCCAGCTTCTCCAGTGTGAGGATTTGCTTCTTTTCTCTGTTGTAAACTGAATATTTATTGATTTATTTAGCAGCTTGTTGGACAAATAAAGACGCCACTCTGGACTGTTCGCTCTTTTTGTACATTTTATAGACTAAAAAATGGTTAAGCACCAAAGCGCACCTCTGCTCTCCACATCCACAGATTGTTTTCACTGCAGCAGCTCGGCCACAGAGGATGAGTGAGTGATTAGACTGAAGATACAGCTCCATCAACCCGCAGTTATCACCACCATTTCACATGAGTCACTCAGTCTTGGAAAAATAAAACTTCTTCCGATAAACTTTGTCAGCTGCTGCAGTGACAAAAACACACTTTGTTCCCCCTCCATTTATTCCTCGTGTTTTGAAGCCGCAGGATGTCTGAGTCCTGAGTCTGCAAAGCCAGACTGACCTGTGAGCTCAGCTTTCAATATAAGATTCACTTCTGGAAAACAAAGCACACAAAGGGCCGCTCTGCAGGGACAGAGTGACTCCAAGAACTTTCTAACTTTGCCAACACATATTGAAGCCGCAAAGCGAATCGTGATGCTGCTGCTGTGCGGCTCATTTCTCACCTCACTTTTCTTTCGAGGCTGGTTTTACTGGTGTTGTGATCGTTTACTTTTTCAGGTGGAGGGACAGTTGAAATGAAGTTGTGTGCTGGCGTTGCCCTTCTTAGTTTTTGTCATCAGGGTTTGATTTTCTGAAACAAAAAGCAGCATGTGAACGCAGCATCTGTCCTTCTAATCAATAACTATCTGTCCAGCGTGCAGCAGAGCTGTGTGTTTATGGCCGTGTGTCCAAGCCATGCGGTCCTGTATTACAGAGGGGATTTCTGCCTGGAGCTTTTCGGGGTTTAACGTGATGATAATGTGTCATTGGGGACGAACTCACAAAGGGATTGTGTGGCTTTTGTGGCCCATAAACCTGCACAAATAAAACAAACTGAAACGTTATTGCAAAGGGTGAAATGTTGGTTACTAACAAAGCTAACAGCTCCAGTGTTTAAATTTGGTCATATGCACACGTTGGCCCTTTTCAGTGCAAACAAGTCCAGTTCACAAACAGCAGCAGCGTGTTCACGGAGTTGTTAGAAACTGGAGCGCATTTCTAACTGCCAGGCTTTCCAGTGATCGTGGCAGCGGCGATTAAAGCCAGGTGAAGCAATCGTAGAACATCATGTGGGCACAGTTGGAGGGAATCAAAGTGGAAAACAACATGAAACCTCCCGCTGTTCCAGTCCAGCAGAGAGCAGAGGAGAGAAAACAGCTCTCCGTGCGCCCTGACGCATGAGGGGGAGCGCACAGTTACAGCACCGCAAATAACCATCACTCCCACACAGTCACATCCTGCAGGTGGAAACGAATGAAAGAGCGGGGGAGTAAATAGATCATCAGAGTAGTTTTCATTGGCATACAAACATGTTGAGATGCGACGATGAACGTTTTGTTCTTGCAGCCGCATTCATGAAATGTTACTGGGACCGCTGCAGATATTATTATGGCCGTGTTTGCTGTTGTGAATTGGACCTTGAGACGCGACAGATAAAGGTTGTAAGTGATGCGCAATTCATGGTGCTAACATTCTTTGTGAAGTCGCCCCTCAGTGTGCTGATTGCGCTTTTTAACTCAGAGTTTTTATTTAACACCGCAGGAGCACGTTTATGTCCTGACGGCAGCTTTTCTGTGGCTGAAACGAAGCCAAAGATTCTTTTCATGTGTTGGCACGATGTCAGCTGTGGTGTTCTACTTCATGCAAAGTGAAATTAAAGTCAAATTAAAGGTCTCCTGTTTGCATCCACCAGTGTTTGTTCTCCTGTTATTGATTTACTCACCGCAGCTGATTACTATCTGAAAGGCCGGTTTTAGCCCTGAACCACAGTTTAGTGACGGGAAGAATTGGCTGCTTGAAAGGCTGATTCTTTTCAGACTAAACATCTTTACATTTCACACTTGTAGGAAACATTTATCTACAATTAAATACAAAGGATTGCGTGTTACAGGTGTCAGTGTGGAGAAAGCTTTTTAGATTACAGAAAGAATTGCAAAGATGCCAGATAGATGTGACAAGCGTGCAAGGGGAACATTTTCCGCTGCACCAGAGTGTAAGGTTCACACTAAACTGGCCAACCTTAACCTCTGGCGTGCGACCTCTGACTCATAAAGCAACTGTAGGTCGCTTTGGATAAAAGAGTCTAATTATTACAAATTATTTAAAACACTTGTACTTTATAATAGAAGTCATAAAATAAAAGTCTTAAAGATGGAAACGTTGAAGGTTTTCACTCATATGAAGACATTTTATTCTTCTGTCACAGAGCTCTGACAGAATAATAACTGAAACAGAAACAAAATTCAGCTTAGTTGGTTTGGTGGTCATCAGTTATCAGTCAGTGCTGTCGAGCGGAGTCTAAATCACACCGCTCAGAGAAGAAGAGGGGCACGTTTAACCGCTAACTTTATGTCGGTGGAAACTGGCAAAAGTGTAACACGTTTTGTTCAACTGTCAATTTAAACCGTTCACCGATAGGAACTGTGGTCTTGATGAATCCGGTGTTTGAATGCGGGGTGTTGTTTTCATCACTCCTCTTAAGTTCATACGATAAAAAATACAGAAAGTCATGAGCAGCACAACAGAACATGTAAATATAAATGAGACATACAGTAAAGTAGAAAAACTACTTCCACCTTTATTATTTGTATTTGCACATTGGGGTTTGGGGACGTTGTGTAATTCTCAGCATAGCTTCAAACACCCCCCACCTGAGCAGAGGTCTAATCACACAACTGAAATGGGGAACACCTGTGCAGGTGTTCAGGGCCTTGAGGGTTCACTTGCTGTTGCGTTTCCCTCTGTGGAAGAACTAATGATGTCATTTACCCATGGTGGGAAAGATGTTTCTGCATAACTGCTGAGTTCAGTTCTCCAGTTTAGCAACGATGTTTAAATGCTCCTCTCTAAGGACATTTTTTCGAAACTTTGGGGTTCACAGAAATCAGAATGAAACCATCAGAGTGCAGCAGACACAGTTTATCAGTTGACTACTGTATGAAACTATATCATGTGAAACTGCTCCACAGTGTAGATGGATGAGTTTTACTTTTAATCCTCCTACTTTTAAGCCTGTGATGTTTTTCACACATTTAAAATTCAGAGCTGCAGGAACAAAACAACAGACTTCATCTGTTATAGCTTTTCAGTTCAGGCTGTTGTTAAAGAAGGCACCAGGCGTCTTCAGTGCTCCTCCACAGAGGAGAGAAGATTGAGTCTCATGTGAAATCAAACGTCAGCGTTGATTTATTTTATCTTATGTTATGTAACGTGTTTAAATTACTGTTTTCTTAAACCTAACCAAGAAGTTTTGTTGCGTAAAACCTAACCGGACTGAGCCTCGCTGGTGACGTCATGACAGCTGAAGGGGATGCGTGGTATTTGGAGGTTTATCATCTGCATGCAAAAATGGACTTTGGTGAATGCTCTCCGTCCTGGCAGATGAAAAATAAATGAAAGATTATTCTGGCAAAAGCTTTTTTTTTTCACCTGTTCTAGATAAGACTTAGAAAATGGTTCACCAGGATTGTCCACTTGCCTTCAGGGCTTCCGTAGAATATTCCTGCTCCCCAGAGAATGAATCCTAAAGATTTTGGAAACCTTGCCTAAGATTTCCTGCAGCACTATCATGAGGCCTATTTGGACACAAAAAAACATTTAACTCTTATGAAGTGACTGGTGTAAAATACACTGCTCAAAAAAATAAAGGGAACACTTAAACAACACGATGTAACTCCAAGTCAATCACACTCCTGTGAAATCAAACTGTCCACTTAGGAAGCAACACTGATATGTGGTACGAGGGCCCGACGTCCACAGGTGGGGGTTCTGCTTACAGCCCAACACCGTGCAGGACGTTTGGCATTTGCCAGAGAACACCAAGATTGGCAAATTCGCCACTGGCGCCCTGTGCTCTTCACAGATGAAAGCAGGTTCACACTGAGCACATGTGACAGACGTGAGTCTGGAGACGCCGTGGAGAACGTTCTGCTGCCTGCAACATCCTCCAGCATGACCGGTTTGGCGGTGGGTCAGTATTGGTGTGGGGTGGCATTTCTTTGGGGGGCCGCACAGCCCTCCATGTGCTTGCCAGAGGTAGCCTGACTGCCATTAGGTACCGAGATGAGATCCTCAGACCCCTTGTGAGACCATATGCTGGTGCGGTTGGCCCTGGGTTCCTCCTAATGCAAGACAATGCTAGACCTCATGTGGCTGGAGTGTGTCAGCATTGATGCTATGGACCGGCCCGCCCGTTCCCCAGACCTGAATCCAATTGAGCACATCTGGGACATCATGTCTTGCTCCATCCACCAACGCCACGTTGCACCACAGACTGTCCGGGAGTTGGCAGATGCTTTAGTCCAGGTCTGGGAGGAGATCCCTCAGGAGACCATCCGCCACCTCATCAGGAGCCCAGGCGTTGTAGGGAGGTCATACAGGCACGTGGAGGCCACAAACACTACTGAGCCTCATTTTGACTTGTTTTAAGGACATTACATCACAGTTGGATCGGCCTGTAGTTTGGTTTTCCACTTTGATTTTGAGTGTGACTCCAAATCCAGACCTCCATGGGTTGAAAAATTTGATTTCCATTGATAATTTCTGTGTGATTTTGTTGTCAGCTTTACAACTATGTAAAGAAAGGAGTATTTAATGAGATTATTTCATTCATTCAGATCTAGGATGTGTTATTTTAGTGTTCCCTTTATTTTTTTGAGCAGTGTATAATACTGTAAGCACATTCATGCTCACCAGTGCATGAACCCCTTTGGGTTTGCATACATTTTAATACTTACTCTCTACACAAACAAGAATCTCTTGAATTTAATGAGACTTTCTTCTTTACTATGCAGTCATTGTCTCTCTGCACCCAAACACTAGACTCAAAGTGAAAAGGTCAGGCCTCATCTGAGCTGTGGAAGTACTTCAGCAAATAAAGGAAACTGAAGAAGAGATAAATGAGGATGACTGTAGACAAGCTCACTGAAAAAGTAATATATTCTAAAGTGTATATGAAGCACAATGTTTTTATTCCAATATTAAACACATCAAACTTCCATCCACAGGCAGAGCGGCATCGCAGACAGCTTCATATCAAACCATAATGCCGCTATCCTTATTAATTCATTACACGTGTTTATTTACAAAAAGTTCAAGTTTGGCTTTATACAACAAAAGTGCATCAGATATAAATTTGGAAATAATATACAATACGGGTTCATAAGATGCATTTACAGTTTCCATTAGTATAAAAAAGGAAAATAAAATAAAATCAGCCATCATAGGTAGTCTTTGTTTTACTCATATGCCCTCAGTATAAAATACTGTCGTTGGTTTTAATGGTTTCCATCCTGACTCGCTGTCTTTGTTGCTTGGGAATAAAAGATAGACCTGATCTTAAAAGTTTTATTTTAAAGTCTTATTTGTGTAGATTTATTTTTCCTCAGCAGCTTCATTGTTGAGATTCGAGCTCTCAGCAGCAGCATACCTTTCGAACATTATGACATGATCATAAGTATGTGGTCAAGTCTTTCCAGTTTCGCCACATTATCTAAACCTCTTCTGAGGAAGTTAACACCAGAGCAGCACATGATTACAACACTTTCATTATTAGACACCTTCAGTTTCATTTTTTTTATTGTTTCCTGAGCATAGACTCAACCGCAATACTTCTACAAATCACAGCCCCAGAGTTAGCTCTATATTAATTTGTACCTGCAGTCCCTTCAGAGGACGCACAACGGGCCATTCATTTTGAATACCCATTATCAGATTTGTATCATATTATTGGGATTTTTTTATATGGATGGACAATAAGTTAGCTTTCAAGGCCCACACAGAGCAGCTTTTAAAGAATATCAGGCCAGAATTAAGTTTTTATTTCCGTAACAAGGCCCTGTCTACACGAACACGGGTATTTTCAAAACCGTGACTTTTTCTGTGCAGTTTGGCCGTTTGTCCACACGGAAAGTATCAGGTCACTGAAACCGAACATTTTTTAAAACCCCTGCCAAGGTTGCAGTGTTGTCGTGTAGACAATAGCCACGTTTCCATCTCATTTACATGCATTTTAAAGCGGACTTTTGAAATGTTGCAAAAAATAAAAAATAAATGCCTGTACCTTTCCATCAGCCGGTTTGGAGCGAATAAACCAGGCTGCGGCGAATGCAGTTACGTCAGTAGTTGACGTTACACGTGGCTGTAATAAACAAGACGTCTGGGTTCCAAACCAGAAACAAAACCAGGCGCGTGGAACTGAGGGGCCACTGATCTTAGAAAAATGGAGAGAGGTCCTCAGGAATGTGTTTCAAGCGGGCAAACTGCTACCAACCATGTCTCCGTGCATTATGGGGATATCCAGGGAAGATGTAGACAGCGGAAACAGCTGATCAGTTGTGAGTTACATGTTCGCTACGTCAGAACTTATTGGGAAAATGTGTTTACATCTCCCATTTAGTGCATCAACAGTTTTTCGACAAAGGCGAAAACCACCTCAAGCGAGCGACACTTCAAAATGAGCATAAAATAACGTTGATGGAAATACGGCTATTAAAGGAGACCTATTGTGCTTTTCCACATTTTATGACTTATCTACAATGTTATAATGTTGGATGTTCATGTTAAACATCGCCAAAGTTTCAAATAATGAGGTTAAAGCATTTATAAGAAATCCCTGTGAGCAGAAACCTCAGATTTCCTCCTGTTCTGAACGCTCTGTTTTAAACTGCTGTTTCTACCAACGGCTCCGTAATACATATTAGAGACAGAGGGAGACGCTGTTCCACACATGTGCTCAGTCTGCCTGTTCTGCCCAGCAACAACAACAGCCTGGTAACATGCTTCAGGTCTTGGCCAATCAGAAGACAGTGGGCTTTGAGAGGAGGGGCCTTAAAGAGACAGGAGCATCTACAGCTTGTTTCAGACAGAGGCTGAAATGAAGGCCTACATGAAGAATCAGTATAAGAAAAAAACTTTTTTTTTTAACTTTGAATCATGCAAAGCTGCCATACAGGAGTCACAGAACTACAATATAGGACTGGAAAAGCAGTTTTATTGGTCTCCTTTAAAACCGGTTTTTGCCATGCGACGTCAGAGTGCGTGCCGTTATCTGCTCTGTTTGATGTCAGATTGTGCGCCACTTCCGGCTTTGTTTACAGTTTTATTAGGCTCTGATTGGCCAACATTGCTTTTCGGTTAGGGTCATATCACCACCTGATGGTTTGACAGTGCTAGATAGCGTGTTTTTGTGTTTTCATGTAGACAGTTTTTTTTTTAAATTAAGGAGGAAAAACTCCAGTTATAAAAATACCCATGTATGTGTGGACGAGGCCTGACGTCCTGTTTCACCTCTGAAGCCCAAAAGAAACTTGTTCGAACCATCTTTTTACCTGTGACTGACAATGGGGATCTGTTGTATGTGCATGCAGCATCATCTGTAGCTCTCTGTGTAGATTCAAGAAAGCCTTAAAAAAATACAATAATTAAGGATTACAATTTACACTGAAATTTATTGAATTTTGTTTTTTGTTTTGTTTTGCTTCTTCTTGTGTTTCTTTTGTATTGCTGGTATTTTGCATTTTAGTGTATAGGATAGGGAAATATAAGCCATGGGCTTCAGCCTATTCCTTTTTCAGTTAGTTTTTTCAGAGTAATTTTGTGTGAATGGATTATTGTAAGCTCATAAGATTCTTGTAAATTGCATATTCACACAAATTGTTTTTTTTCTGTATTTTTTAAACCGAAATAAATTATTCATTCATTCATTCATCTCTGCAACCATGCAGCGCTGCGCTTCATCACAAATACCAGATAGTTCATCATAATTGTAGTTTACATGAATGGGGAAAATTTGCAGTCAGTAGTTACCAAACACGCTACGGCTTTTTAAAGTCTCCAGGGTTGTTTCAAAGTTAGGAGAAACTGCCTTTTGCTTCTCCAGTTAGAGGAGCTGGTTCCACTCAGGGAGGTCAAGTCCCTGGTTGCAGACGTCCTTAAGGAGGAGTGTAGATCTTTCCCATAGGCTGGACTCTTAATGTTTATATTTACAGGTCTCTTGGAGGTTTTTGTAATGTGTTGTATTGTCATGTGCGTGTCAGTTGCTGACTTTTGTCTGGGTCTCCCTTTAAAAAGATCTCTTCTTCCTGGTTAAATAGTTAAAAAGACTTCCATAGTTTGGACTTGGTGCATGGTCCTAAGCTGCAGTTTTAAACTTCAACAATAAATTATGTGTCAATAATTTTGGTGAGTTTGATTTCTTGGGGAGACTGTACTGGAAAAATCTGATAAAAACGCTGAAATATGAATAAAACCACACGGTAATTGAAGCTCGGGTGTCTTTCTCTCCTTTTTTATAAACCAATTTATGTGGTTTAGATAACTGGAACAATTAGAGATTTACTTGAAACTTATAAATATAAAAATAGCGTTAGTTCAGATGGAGCTCTGACCTTAACACTGACTGGCATCAGCTGTGTGGCTTCCGAGCTGCTGAGTAACATCCAGTTATATTCACGCCGGTGTTCGGTGTGGCCAGTGTTACTCTGCCGATACCTTCATGCCAGCTCTGTGTGCTAGCTTACTGTAACTGATTTGATTCTTTGTCTGACTTCAATGACTTTTACTCCAAAGCATGTTGCAGCTTTTTAGCCTATAAACACACACTAAATAAACTTTAACTCGACTCGCTCTGTCAGAAGACTGAAATAGCTCCACAGGTTGGTGCTGGAGAGCAGCTTGTTTGCTGACTGGAGCTGAAGCTGGTTGGCTGATGTGCCGGTTCTTAAAGGAGCTGTACAGTAACCGGGGGGGTTGTGGACGTGGTTTGTTTGTCAGCTGACAGGAGGCTGACTATAGCTGTTAAGTGTTTGAGCAATTGACCCGGGGGAGGGGGGGCATCAGGGTCCCTGAGTGACAGGTGGAGGCCTGTGATGCATTCAAGTGATCCTCATCAGCTCGTAAAGTTACACTTTTGTTTTGGTAAAATGTCCAATTTAACTCATTTTCTCTGCATAAGTTCCTGCAACAAGTTCCATTTAGCGTTGAACAACACTGCTAACAAACAGCGGTCTTTATGTCTTTATGTCTTTATGTCTGAGTTCTGTGACCAAAACCACACAGGTACAGAACTCGAGACACATTTTGTGACTTTACAAGTTGGCGAGGACCGAGCGAACACATTATAGCTCCTCTGCTGCCTTCCCATTGGCTACTGGCTGCTCCTCCTCTTCCTGTCTCCTCCGTCTGTTGAAGAAGCCGAGCTGAGCGGGAAAACAGATCCATGGTTTGAAATCAATCAACACTGTTTGTTACTCCAGACTGGAGATCATTTCAAATGATGACAACTGTAAGTAACTGACGATAACCGGTTCACTAAGTCAAAGGCAATGTGTTGTACTTTCTATTTTTGCAATATGTATGATAAATTGCATCCTTTGTGGGCTAAACCAGGCCAGTTTCAATCCCCGGCTCCTCCAGGCTGCCTGTCAAAGTGTCCTTGGGCAAGATATTGAACCCCGACCTGCCTCTGGCGGCTGTTCCACCGGTGTGTGAATGGTGGATGCGACATAGTCTTAAATCGCTTTAAGTGGTCGCAAAGACTAGAAAGATGCTATACAAATACAGAGCATTTACATTTACCTTCCACAGGGCCAGAACCAGTAAGGCCAGTAGCAACAAGCCTCCCAGTGAGCTCCCCAGTATAATCCAGATGGGGATGATGTAATCCTCCTCCTTCCTCAGCTCCAGGATTATCTGCAGTAACAAATACATATCATCCGCTGACTGGCTTTGATTTATTCTTTGCTGACGTTCTGACAGCGCTGAGTTTTCAACATGCTGCAGATAAAACCTGGTAAACAGCAGAGGGTGAACCCGCCTTATTAACCAAAGTTCACCTTGTGTCCTATAAAAAAAAATCACTATATAAAGCATCATGTAGATTCAAACTCGTATTCGTTCGTGTACCATTCACAACCTATCCAGCAAAAACTTTGCTCCACCTTCTACCAGCTGCAACAATAAAGTGATGAACGCGTCAATAATTATAATCCAAAAATATATCTTTATTCTTTATTATTATTATTCTAAAACCAGTTTACATAATGAGCACTTTTGCTTTTCGTTATATTTGATGCTTACACTTGCTAATAGTACTTTTACTTAAGTAAAATTGTAAATGCAGGACTTTTACTTGTATTTCTACTCTATGACACTGTAACATATCTGAGTACTGTACCTCTTCCATCACTGCCTATCAGGCAGAACTGATGTAAACTGATAAAAGCATACACAACATTTTATTTTCAGGTGTTTCTCATTTTTTGTCACCCCCTCTCTTATCACAGCCAGCTTCATAACTGGCTGTAATAATACATTCTGACAGCAGATGACAGCAAAGGCCCATGTTTAGTCCAGTTTAAATCAGGATCAGAAATACTTCATTGATCCGTGGGTAAGGACTGGTTTTTGAGCCATTACACTGTGTCTGGTGGCAGGTAGTAAGTAGTTAGTTAATAAGTATATATATAATAACACTCACTTAGTCTTTGAATATGTCAGTTACTATCTATCAGTGTTTTGGGTGCAGCTGGCACTCGGATGTGGTTTGGTGTATTAATGGTGCTCTTGCTATTGATTAGAGGCACCTGAACAGAAGCATCAAACTGCCTTTAGATATGTTGAAGTCATGCTTGGAGCTATACAGAAATCCATAAATACATTCCCTCTTCAGCCACATCCTCAGTTAGTAAGTCTGTTCGATCATTCACGTGTGTTCAGAGGAATAAACTTTCACTCGATATTAATAAAGCTTCATTTTATGATATTTCATAACAAAAAGAAAATATACGCAAAAGAAAAGGGAAGCACAATATTGAACTTGTGTGGTCAGGTCAAGTTAATTCATTGATAAATCATTCTCGTATTTTCAGTATAATTTACCCAAAATATCATATATTAAAGTACTGTTTGGGCCACCAGCTCCCCCACCTACCTGAATAAGATTCTGCAAATCCAAAAGAAAAGTTATATAATGAGATAAAATGCATCTGCTCCTCTCCTCAGAAAACACAACAACTTTTATCATTTGTCAATGTGAGACCGACAGAGATCAAACCTGTGTGTTTCTGTATAAATATGTCCACTTGACCCAAGACTTTTTGAAGCTCCCATTTTGTCAGACATACATTGAAATACAGAGGACAGTTTCTTTGGAACAATCTACCTACATCACCACAATCATCATCTAAATTATCTTTAGTTAAAAACATTTCAAATCAACACTTTTAAGATCTTTCTAAGATTTTTGTATTTAATTTTCACTGCTGTCTAGTGTAACTAGAGTCAGAGTTAGAGAGGTGGTAACTTTATATAAGCCTTTTCTTGGCTTCAAACCTCCCCTGCACGGTGTTTTACTATGTGTAATGTTGTCTTTTTTTAATGTGTGGATGAATAAACTAAATGTGTGAATGCATCAGTCCTACCTGTCGGACCGGTCGGTCCTCCTGCAGGAACATGGGACTGGACGCTTCCAGCTGGATGGAGGCAGCAGTCAGTAACTCCAAGGACCTGAAGCTCACCTGAAACACCAAAGTTTTTTTTAAAAAGCACACAAAAGACCACAAATGCACAGTAGCGTAACCCTGTTTTCTGGCTCAGTGGAGTTCTCCTAATAGGTAGCTCCAGTTTGTTCTTGAATAATCTTCTTTATTTAAACACCAACACGGCAAAACAGTACACACCCAACGTCACTCTCTCGAGGTTCACAGGAATTTACCTCTGTTACACTCGCCTCATTATGGTGGATCTTATCAACTGTTCCTTGGAATCTGGCGTAGTTCCCTCCTACTTCAAAACCCTCCAGTCACCTCTATCCTCAGGAAGCCAGGCTTAGATCCACAGGAAGCCAACAACTACTGGCTGATCTCCAACCTTGTCTATTTATGTTCTCTGCCAGTTTCATTAATTAATCTGATTTTGTTCATTCTGCTCTAGTCTCTGTGTAGCCTTTATTATTATTTATCCACATCTTTAAGTTACTTAGTATCTGTCTTGTCTCTTTAGTTCGTGTCTTAAGTGTTTGTGTTGTTTTGCCCATGTCTGCTCTGAGTTCTGTTTAACCTTAGCTTCTGTCTGTGTTCCTTGTTGGTGTTAGTTTATTTATAATACTCTGATGTTTACATTACATTTATTACATTTATTCATTTAGCTGACGCTTTTATCCAAAGCGACTTACAATTGCTATATATGTCAGAGGTCGCAACTAGGGGTTAAGTGTCTTGATTAGGGACACAGTGGTCTCTCACACCAAAGGCAGGTGTCTTATCCATTGCGCCATCACCACCCCTCTGTTTAGTGTTGAGTAACTTGTTTTGTCTTTTCCCCCCTCAGTAATCTGCCTCTCTGTTCCCCTGCCTGCTTTCTCTCTGCCTGCCTCGTTAACCTTGATCCCCGTCACCTGCCTTGCTCGTCTCGTCACCCTGTTTCTGTGGATTTTGGATTTCTGTTTGGATTACCTTGTTTTTTGGATCAGCCACTGCCAGTAAGTGTGCTCGCCTTTTGTTTGTTGGAATAAATCACTTTTGAACTGCACCTCCTCTGCTTTGCGTCCTGCGTTTGGGTCCTCCAACCTGCCCTACCCTCTCCACACCACAAATCGTGACAATGTTAAAAAATTCATATCACTGGATATCGGTAATAATCACGATAAATGTCAAATCATCGCTTCTTTCAAGTTTACTGGCTGATGTTTGCTCCTGATTGAAAGTTAATTGTGCCACCAAACAGTGGACACTTCACAAATCTAAGTTGCCGAACATTCAACAACAAATATGCATGAGTAACATTAGGTAAAATCTGTTTTCAGTCCCTTTTCTTCAGCAAAATAAACATCCAAATCAAGAAATAAGTGCTGATTTGTCTATGATTCAAATGAATTAAACATTCATTGAACATTTGTTATGTTCAATGAAATGAAATAATAATCATTATTATTGTTTTATTGCCCAGCCCTGCTGGTACCCATTTACATGTTGCCCTGTTTGGGGCTAATGTTAGTGTATTCATTATAATTTCAGATAGCCTACTATATATCTTACCACTAGTATAATATTAGTTCCAGTTGGACAGCAGTTTTATTTGTGTGGGTTGTTTCCATTCATTAAATTTGTGTAAGAAAAATGATCTAAATGGTGGTCAGTTTCAAATTAGTTAATGCTAAGTACTACTCGTCAATAATCATTCATGCAGAACAAGTTCAACATTTCGAAAGTTTGCTGTAGCGCATCAAACTTTTTTCAGTGTCCCGTCGCCTCCATGCTGTGATTAGTCGGTTCATGAAAAGCTACATTGATGAGCAGCTTTACACACACAACTGTATGAAAGACACCCGAACTTCTTCCTCCTCTGTTTCTACTGAGAGATTATGCATGTAAACAAAAAACACGTCTACATATTGACCTTTTGAGTGACACCTTAATTGACCTTAATCAAAGTAAAATCTCAGTTCAACGCCAAATACTGCTTTACAGTAAACAAGCTTCTCACGCTTTTATTTTGTAGGCAAAACCACTAAAGCGGAAGTGATGATGTGAGTAACTGTTGCTGTCATGACTGAGATCTATTTCAGCCGCTATCAATGCGCCATAATCTGGCAGTGGGCCAGATATTATTGTTAGCGGGCAGTTTTGGCGAGGGTCCATAATCACAGAGAGAATGAACGTGTTTCCCTTGTCAGCGTTTGTCTAAACTTTATCTAATGTGTGGTTTATAAAGGACTGCGGTGCAGAAACAGTGACAGTGTTTCACACTCTTGGCTCACATTTTCCATGTTGTCTGTCAGTGTCAGAGTCACAATAACATCTGGTTTTACTGAATAATTAAGTAAATATAATTTCTTAATAAATATACCTGAAGAAACCTCATTTCCTGACTGGCCACTCTCTGCGGTCTCAGAAGAGACACCTTTTGTGCTGCGTCAGCCACCGTAGCTGTTCTACGCTCTTAGGTTAGGGGGCAGTGGTCGACTGGACAGATGGTTGCAATTGACCCTTCGCTAAGCCACGCCCCGAATACACAGCTTGCCAATCACAGCGCAGTATAGGACTCGCTCTAACTGAGCTCCGACACATTCATGGCTGCACTCCATTGACTCTAATGCAAAAACACTCGTTTTCTAGCTTTCTTTGCCGTATTTTTCCAAGATCTGGTCAAACGTTGTTCCTGGGGCATCTTTTAATAGTTACAGTCGCTACCCCGAGAGGTTGAAAGGTGAAGGACGATTTATTCTCTTTCCAAAACCTGAAATAAATCCAGAATAATGTCGGCTGTGGATTGTTAGCTAACGCTGGCTAACTTCCTACTGAACGTAACGTAATAAAGTCCTGCTGTTCTGCTTTTTAATGATGGTAATAATGAAGAGGGGCCGACCAGCTGTACAGGAACAGCGTTGATCGTTCATATCGTTGTCTTTTGTCTCAATCGTCGGGGGATGCGGTGGTTCACTTGTACTGTGTGATCGGCAGGATTTAGCTTCTATCTTTCATTTATTTCACGTCCGTTTGACTCAGTCTGAGTCTGACAGCCTGAATACAACCTTCAAATTTATAATGCAACTGCAAAACTGTCTGCTTCTTTCTGAGATCGCTTTTTCCAACAAATTTGACAAATTTATTTCTCCGGTGCTGATAGTTTGTCAGACTTAGCAACAGTAACTAAGATTTAGTAGTTGTCTCATGAAGTGAAAACGTAGAAATTCTCACAGCGAGCAGAGCAGGCAGCTGGAGTCGTCCTCTGAGCGTCACCTTCAGCTCTCTGGAGGCCGGCAGGTTCAGTCTGCACCTGACCGCCAGACTCACACTGTTACTGTGGTTCTGCACACAGAGAGAGAAGAAAAGCCTTCTGTAACTCAGTTGGACTCCTGGACGTTCCTCGAGCTTCCTGAGATCAACTGAAATGTCAGCAGTCTTACCAGCTGTGACAGCTGAGACAGGTCCTCGGCTGTAACCTGATTGGTTGTTCTGGGTTGAGGCAGCACGCAGTGAGACCCAGCTACCTGCTGAGAGACAGAGGAGAAAGCTCAGGTGTGACTGGATTACATTTATTTCTCTCCGTCTTGCACTTTGTAAAGTGGTAAAACCAAATCTTCAAAATGAATTTTCCTTTGTGGTTGAAGAAGCTTTCCCAGCATTTATTGATTAAAATGACTAAACTGTATTTTAACATTCCCCCTGGTACCTGCTCGATGCTGTAGTCTGTGATGTTCACCAGCTGGTTTTCTTGCCTGGTCACGGCCCAGATATCAGCCCTGAACAGGACGTCCTGCACTGAGAAGATGCCCAGGTTCTGGATCTGAAACGTTATTAAAAACAGAAACGCGTTGAAAAACCATAATGGTGTTCGGTGATGTCTGAAACATTCCTGCTTAAACTGTCATGCATTTCACTAAGGAGTCACTAAAATGAAAGGGGTTTACTGTTTGAGGATGAATGCAGGTAGTTACTTTAGTGATAATTCTTAGATTAGAAAAGATTTTGGCCTTAAGAAAGCTGAAAATGGATTGAGTTTGTTTTCATGAAAGTGCTCAGTAAATTTTAGGCCAATCTGAATATTGGATTTGATTATTTTAATGTGAAGTGACGTGATGACTTTGGCCTAACGGTGGCGGTTGAGGAAAGGCCAGGGGTGCCGTCACGAGCATCCATACTCGTGCGTCGGTGTCTGCGTCACTCTGCGATTACACCACCTAGACTTTCCAAATATAATGAGACTGAACAGATCAAATTCTGATTGTGAAACGAGACGTGTATCCGCCGTTTTACAGCCGCTTCTGTTACAAGGTAAGTCTACAGGAAAATGTCTGGTTTGACTAGTAAAAAGCACTTCCTGGGGACTTGATGAACAATCACAGTTCTTGTGCTCTGCGTCGCCGTGAAGTGGAGCTATATTTTTGGCCAAAGGCATTCATCCCCCGAGGAACATGAACATCCACAGTAGCTTGTAAGATTATTTGCTGTAGACTTAGGCATTGTCATTTTTCACAGAAGGCATATTGACTTGTCGTTGTAGGAAGTGTCCCAGTGAGTCGTGACATCGAGTGGCAGCATGAACAACACCAGGACGACGAAACTGAAGCGTTCATTTTAATATTTACACCTGAGCTTTTCCTGCTGTCACGTGTCAAACTGCCTTCAGTTAAAAAGGCAGACAAATAAACAAATACACCAAAAATCTAGAAAAGTCACATCACTCAGCTCGTTGTTTCAGGGTTTTTTCCAGTTAACATATTAAAATGCAATATGTGCAGACTACTGTGTGTCCACTTTGTCAGTGAGACGGTTCTTCCCGTGTCGGTCCTGGACTCGCTGGATGAAGTGATTGTGTTTCTGTAACTCACATAATATGTGAGGTTGAAGGTGGGAGAGCTGCTGACTGGTTGGTCCCAGGATGAAGAGGAGGAGGAGGAAGATGAGCTGTCTGCTCTGATTTCAAAGCGAGGAGTGTTGGGGTCTCTGACAGGAGAAGAGAGGAAGAGTTTCTTTCATAAAACATACTTAAAGTCTTAATTTGGCTTTAGCATGTTGTACCCAAAACAGGTCTGAATCACAGCTAGCTTTCAAAAACAAAATGTAGTTAGATGGGAGCTCAGCGCCCATTAGCATGCCTCATTTATCCATCCATCCATCGGCAACCGCTTCTCCTCCAGCCAATCCCAGCTGACATCAGGTGAAAGGCGGGGTCCACCCTGGACAGGTCCCCAGTCCATCGCAGGGCCACACAGAGACAAACAACCACTCAATCAACCTAGCCTGCATGTCTTTGGACGGTGGGAGAGAACCCACGCAGACACGGGGAGAACATGCAAACTCCACCAGCCGAGGCAACCGGGGTTTGAACCCACAACCTTCTTGCTGTGCGGCGACAGTACATATTTTTATTTATATTAAACAAGATAAACAGACTTAAATGAACACACTTTCCTGATGAACTACGCTGCGCATCGCATGACTGACAGGACGGCTGCACTTCTTCACCATCAGTGCTGTCGTGCGCACAGTTTTGAGCGAACAGGTTGAGGCAGCGACCCGCGAAAATGAACTCAGTTGTATTGTAGCCGACTGTATTACTCTGTATTAACTGCAGCTTATTTGTTTAGTATTAGTGGCTTTTTGATGCATCCTCCAATTAGTACAGCGCTACAAATGATAATATGCTTGCTAGTGTGCGCCGGCGACAAGCAGCGCGCAACACTTTAATATTACCATAAAGGGCGGGATTGCGGTCTCTCCTTGAGCAAGAGTCTTTGATGGCGGCTTGAAACTTAACGGATTGCTTAGTGTGAGTAGGGCTACACCCAGTTGCAGTATCACAGACATCTGGGGCAGGTAGTGGACTGCTGTGTGTGTGTGTGTGTTTGTGCGTTGGCGTGTGTGCGGTGGAATAAATTTAATGGAGTAACTATCAAAGTGATGACGTCTCAAACTTCGAGTCGCCTTCTCATTCGCACGGTCAGAAAAAACTTTATGGTCCTTCGAACCAAATACACATTTATTGAAATTGTTGCATTCAGCAAAGACAATCCATCCATCCATCCATCGTCAACCGCTTATCCTGTGTACAGGGTCGCGGGGGGGCTGGAGCCAATCCCAGCTGACATCGGGCGCAATATGGGGTCCACCCTGGACAGGTCGCCAGTCCATCGCAGGGCCACACAGAGACAAACAACCACTCACGCTCACGCTCACACCTAAGGACAATTTAGGGTCACCAATCAACCTAGCCTGCATGTCTTTGGACGGTGGGAGGAAGCCGGAGCACCCGGAGAGAACCCACGCACACACGGGGAGAACATGCAACTCCACACTTGCTGTGAGGCGACAGTGCTAACCACTGACAGACAATATTTTAGATATTTCCTGGAATCTGTTTCTCTTTTGCGTCCTTTTCATTTCTTTCAACAACAGGACGGCTCATCGCTGTCACTCACCTGGTGAAGAGGAGGTCAGTCTGGTACTTCAGAGGGAGGAGGATGTCGTTGATGTTGTCATCCGGGTATCCCTCTTCTCCCTCACTGATTCACACAATCAGACATTGCATTGACATACATTAATTCCCTGAGACCAGTAGTCCTCACGTGAACCTCAATCAAGAACAAAAGTCTGTCCCTAAATGGAGTCCCCACAATGTGACTGTGAGAGCAGATGTTTTCTCCACAATAACATGCTGTTACATTTAAAAAAAACATGTTTAATTTGAGCCATAACTACTGGGCGGCTGTGGTTCAGGAGGAAGAGAGGGTTGCCTGTTAATCAAAAGATCGGAGTTTCAATCCAGGCTGCATGTGGAAGTGTCCTTGGGCAAGATACTGAACCCCGAAACCCTGGCGGCTGTTCCGCCAGTGTGTGAATGGTGAATGCAGATGTAGTGTAATTCTTTTGATAGTTGTTCTTTTCTTATGTAGTTTAGTTTTCATGGGTTTATTTCAGTTTGTTTAGTTGGGGATTGGTTTAGGGAATATTCAGAGGGGAAGCCTCCAGATCCTACGGAGGGCTTCCCTTTCTTTTGTCTGTTTTGGCCAGCCCATCAGATGACTTATTTTGTTTGAGTTAAATTTCATGTTTATTTCAATAAACGCGTGTTTTTTGGCACAACTCCTGGACTCTTAATTGTGTTCGACCACCACGTGTAACGAGCTTTGGTGGGGGTCGTAACGCACGCAGAGACAAACGTTTGTACTTCTGCACTTGTGAGGAACCCAAACCTTAAATCACTAATTTAACCCTCAAACTACAGGGCTGACAGGATACATAGAGAAAGTCGATTACTAAAAAGCTAATTCTTTGCGTCAATGCTTCGTTTAATCCATATCACTACATACAGCGCAACGGGCTTCCGCTGTGGAAAAGTGGACTACGTGATTTAATGTAGTGGATTGCAAAATGGAGAGAAATTAGCGATGGATGAAGAAGATACAGGGCAGAGAAAAAGGCAGAAAGTGTGCACAGTCTGGGATCATTTCAAGCTAAAAGAAAACAGCAGTGTGTCTGCTGTAAAACAGAACTACCCGAGCACAACACGGCAGAAAGCAGCAAGTCTACGCATCAAGTCCACTAAGCGGACCTCAAACGCTAATGTTTAAAGTAAAGATTGCAAGTTGAGATGAAGATACGCACAGTTTTAAGCTTCTAAATGTATAAAAGTACAGTTGTTGTTATTGTTTTCCCACTGGTTGAGTTTGGGTTGGTACGTTACAGTGATGTGAGCTACACAGCTGTGACATGGGCTGTCTCACCTGCTGGTCTCCATGACGACCCGCACATGATCCAGGAAGACAGAACGGCTGAACTCAAACTCCAGATGGAAAAATACCTGGATAGAAAGAGAGCGGTCAGTAGTGGGAGAATGTAGAAAGTACACGTACTCAAGTACTTTTCTTTTTATGCCACAGGGCTTAAGTTACTGGTTACTTAAAAAAAACAGGAACACAAAACAAATGAAGAGCTTAAAAAATATGTTTTGTTGTCAATTAAACTTCCCAAAGTACATCTGAAACGATTCAGTATTAAGTAAAAGTACTAATACTACAATGTAAAAGTATGAAAGTATAATCACGAGACTATTATTCCTCATGCATTTATGTAAAAGCAGGATTTTACTGCTGTAGTTTATTTTTGACTGTTTGACGGTTTGATGTTTTTGTTTTTACAGACTTCAACCATCAAAATAGTTGCGATTTAATTTTTAACAGTTTCAGCTGTGCTTGTATGAACTGTTGGAGTTTAACAAAACATCATCTTTTAGAAACGCTTCATGTGTTTTGTGTGTACAAATCTGACTTTGTAAAGTAACTGAAGCTGCCAGATAAGTGTAGTGAAGTAAAAAAATACCACATCTCCCTCTGAGGTGGAGCAGAAGTATAAAGTGGCATGAAAAGAATCTACTCACGTAAAGTACAAATACCTCAAATTCATACTTAAGTACAGTACTTGAGTAAATGTACTTACTTACTGTCCACCACAGATGACTGACAGAAATCTAATTGGCAACTATTTTGATGGTTGAAGTGATTTTTCCTGTAACATGTGAAGACGTGCTGCTTCTCCTCTGAGTGATTGTAATAACTGTAAAGTTTGTTCATAACGCACTTTAGGCTCTTTACAAACCAATCAATCAATCGGTTCATGGAGAAAATAATCAGCAGATGATCTGTTGGTATTTTATTTAAGTAAAGGATCTGAATACTTCCTCCACCGTACATAGAGAGATTTAAAAACTTTTAAATCCTAACCAGAATATAAATAGTCAAACCCCTTTTTACCTCTAGGTCTCATCATTTTACAATTTTCTAACTGTTTTATCAGACGGTCTAACTGTCCGATCATCCCAACATGTGGGACCTGCTGTTTTTGAGGTTTTGCAGATCCTCCACAGCCTCTGATCGTCTCTGTGAGCAGACTGGAGCCGTTTCCCTCCGGATACGTCTCACCTGATCCAGCAGCCACAGCCTCGTTAAGAGGAAGCCGACAATAACCTGCACCACAGTCTGGGCCAATAACCTGGACTTTACTCAGACAGGCATGTGTACAGCGGGGCCCCGGGGCCTTACAGTGGAGGGCGGGGCCGTGATCATGTTTACAGGACGGTCATTAGCCTAATGAAGGATTTTAGTCACTGGCTGTCAGTCGTCCTGCTCTGTTTAATCACTATCATTAGTCTGACTGTGTAACAGCTGTTTTATTAGCTAAATGTAATTCTTTATTATCTTTGACATCTGATGCTGCTCTGTATGTTTGATGTAATTATGTTGTGAATGTTTATAATTATCACCTCTCTGGAGAGCACTCTAGACATTTTCTACTGACTTATTGACTATAAACTGGGGGACTCACAAGAGACAGATCAAAAAAACAACGGTCAAAATCTGTCCAGCTGAGGACTCCCCCCCCGAGTATAGGTCCTACATTTCCCACAATGCAAGTGAAAAGTGTTTTTACCTGACAGAGAAATACTCACAAACCTGGGACAAGGATTTCATGAATGGCGCGCTGATGTTACAGCTCCTCTGATTGGCCAGTCTGTCCTCAGAGTAGCACTCAATCTGGATATCTGATTGGTCCTGTGGGGAAGAGGAGGAGCCTGCTGAGTCACACAGTCACCTTCCGTCTGACATGACGTGAATGTGGCGTGAATGTTACAGTACCAGCCGTATAGGTCGACCTCTAGTGGCCAAAGTAAGTATGACGGGAAGTCAGGTGACGTATTATAAAGAGTGAGAGAGTCTGCGAGTAAGAAGGTGGTTTGGTGAATGGATGGCTCAAACAAACCACCCAGAAGGCCGACGTTCATATTATTTAAAGTTTTAAGTGCAATAAAATTACATCGGTAACAAGGGGTTTTCTCATATTAACGATAACGTGTTATTTCAAAACTGCCACCTTGCATAAAATGGGACAACAAAACAATAAGAAGACGTGGTATTTTCTGTCTCCTCCTTATTTAGACGGCGTCATTCAGGCGAGATTCAGGGATTCAGGTCAGCTAGGCAATATCGTTATCGTACTTTATTTTAGTCATCATAATTGTGAAGTAAAAATCTGATGTCATGACAGCCCTATCAGTGAGTTACGTTACGTGATGTACGTACCCTCACATGCCTAACCATGTTTTGTTGACTCTGCCAAACCAAACTGCAAACGTTAACCACGTGTTTAACATCAAGGTCCGGTACATCTGCTGCTGGTACTTTCCAACGGTCATATATGTTGTTTTGGGGAACGGGAGGTAAATTTATAATTCAGCTTTGGAGCAAGTTTTTGGGGTCAACAACTGTTGAACATGAAGAGTTTTTTGTATATTTTGTGCAAGTGTTCCCACTGCAAGTTACCTAAAACGTTTGCCTACAAGAATAACAGTAGTTTTCTTCCCAAACCCTGCCATGCACCACAACACCTTGACTATGAGGCTGGAGAAGAGGAGGTTGGAGGAGGTGGAGATGCGGATGGCAGCTCCGTAGGCGTTCTCTCCCTGATTCTCCAGTCGCGCAAACACCACCATCCTCCTCCGCCCGGGCTCCACAACAAACACCGAGCCCTCTGACGCCACCTGGTGGCTGCAGATTGACCAGGCGGGCCGGTCCCTCGAGTTGCAGAACTGCCTTCAGGTGAAACACAGAAAACGATTACCTGGGCTCCTTAATGCATGTCAATGATTCACGTCTGTGTTAATGAAGACTGGGTGTTAGGCTGCTCACTGAACATCCATAAGGTCAGTGTGAGAGTGGAGGATGAGGTCGGGAACGCAGGTATCTTCCTGCTCACAGCCGTTCCAGAAAGGAAGCTACGGCGAGAAGAAAAGGGATTATTCTTTGATGAGGCCGACTTAGACATCAGCCTCCATCAGGACTCTGGAGCTCAACAAAAACCCAACGACAGACTGAGAGACAAATGTGACATCACCTGGATGTAAATACCACGAGAAAATCTCACCTCGGCCCTCAGGATGCTCGACCAGTCGGGGTCCAACACCGGCCCCTCGTCTGGGCTCTGCAACCCCGTCTCAAGGACGACCGCAATGGGACGTCCGTAATCAGTCGTCTCCTGTTCAGAGAAACAGTGTGAGTGGTGTTTGTGTGTTCGGGGTTTCACACTGAATCTGACTCTCAGTATTCAAAATCAAACACAAAATAAGTGACAAATGCTTTCAGTTCCGTTATTGCAAAAAAACACCCTTTTCCTCAACATCACTCCTGAATCTTAACACAACTGTTGTTTATTTGATCCACATGTTACAGCAGTGAGTGCCGCGCTAACGTCAGATCTTATTTACGCTCGTGAGAGGCTAGTTCGTTCGAAAGTTGGCCGCTTTATTTAAACCCTACGTGGGTTAGGGAGCTCGATTTAGCTGTGAGGGTGAGGAGGGGGTCAAGTGGCAAGGGTCTAGTTTCAGAAAGGCCGTAGGACTACATTTTAAAATGGAGGGTTATTCTGACCTGGATGGAGAAGCCGAGGCGTTGGCAGCTCTGACCTCCAGCCTGCAGAGACAGACTCTTGGGCTGCTGCCGGTCTGATTTGTCCAGAACAGCTCGAGGAGGAAAACGCCTCTCATCCAATCCCAGACTGTACCAAACAGCTGGGGGGACAAGGAGGAGAAAGGGGGCTTAAAAGAGGCAAAGCAGTCGTATCCCGCTCACATGCAGCACATCGAGACTGTAAATACACAGAGAACAGACTTTACAGGTCTTTCAGGTGATATGAGAGGAAGTGATGTCACCTGGTGTCCTCATTAGTGCAAACTGTACTTGTTATGTTTCCAAATGTTTTATGGTTATTTCTGAAAAGTTGGCAAAATGAAACATGAATCACTGAGTAGTTCTGTTGAATTCTGTTATGTGAATGTACGTAATAAGATTACATAGCCATTCTCCAGTAACTCTAACACTTCATTTCGTCTCGGTTTCCAACTTCACACTCATGTAAATGTAATGAAAGGAGGAGCGGAGGCCTGTAAGAGCAAACGGTAGCAAGACACATTACTTTGTCCACTGAAGTAGAAGCTGGTACTGAGAAAATCATAGTTTATTGAGAAATTAAACCAGCATTATGTAGTGCGTGTATCTTTAAACTTCTTTGAAATCATTTTGATGCTACGCTGACTGGTGATAGGGTGAACAGCGTCTCTGTTATTACCACTCCAGGTCCGCAGTTCCTGCTAAAGTGCTATGTAACATCAGAATCCCGCGCAAGACATTTATGACGACAACGCCGTAATGCTTACGGCGCCACATCACACCAACAAAACTCTTCAGCGAGCTGCAAGAAGAAGCAACATCATGTACAATCTGAGTTCTTTGGAGGAAGCTAGCTCCATTCTCCGTATGTAAATCCTGGCAGAGGCTGAAAAGCTGAGCTGGCCTTCTTTCTGCTGGACTCAGTAATGTTGCTTGTTTTGTCTTGTGTTGTCACACCTGATGTTTGGCTGTTAGCAACATTGTCAGCTTGCTACTTTTGGATCATAAGTGATAACAATAACAAGTGCACGTGTACAGCTGTCCCTATTGACAGCGGTCAAACTGTAGGGATGCAAAATCTCAAAAAGTTATTTCAGGCAGGCAGCAAAGTCAAACTCATCTCACATCCCAGCTACATCCGCTGAAAGCAGCCAATCTCAAGCCAGCCACATCAGCTCATGGCTCAGCTGATTCCCCTCCTGCATCCATTGGCAAAGCTGCACCGAGCTGCCTACCCCTGCTGCTTTGCCACCCGCCTCCACCTGAGCTCCTGCTTTCATGCTGTGTCTGACCAATCAATGTCATTTCTGTTGTCATTGACGCCTGCTTTGTTCTGAACCCCGCCGCTCTGCATGCCTCGGCATGTGGAAGGACCGGGAGGTCCTAGAACAAGGGGCCAAACATCCCTGCTGCAGATCGATAAAAGTTTATTTGACTAAAGTGGTCCTGACTCTCCGGGTGCTCTCCTCCCACCATCCAAAGACATGCAGACTAGGTTGATTGGTGTCTCTAAATTGTCCTTAGGTGTGAGTGTGGTTGTCTGTCTATGTGTGGCCCTGCGATGGACTGGCGACCTGTCCAAGGTGTACCCCGCCTTGCGCCCAATGTCAGCTGGGATTGGCTCCAGCCCCCCCCCCGCGACCCTGTACGCAGGATAACCGATTGACGATGGATGTTATTGGAGGCAGAAAGACTTTTGTGACAAGGACTGCAGTACAAAATGTATCCACTTGATTTGTCCTATGCAGACTGTTAAATCCATAAATTAACTTCTGCTGAACTTTGGAAGTCACTTTGGCATATCAGTAATTCAGTTGTTTTCAAATAAAGTCCAAATAAAATGCAGCTAAAATGCAAAAGTGATATACTGAGTTATGTTCCTAATTACTTAATAAGGATAATAACTTATTCTTCTGTTATTGATTAATAAAGTGATGCATTTCCTGTTTCCTTATTAGTTGTTGGATGCCGTTGCTGCGAGCATAACTGCAGAGCTCATTCTCATCTGTTTAACAACTGAAGTTGGGTTTTGATTTATGAGTGCACAGAGAGCTGAGGTAAGCTGCTTCAGTCCAACACAGTTCATATTAGAAACGCCACGTCTGCACGTTAGGAAATGAATGTTAAAAACAAAGGTTCAGACTGTGTCAGCCATGGCTCCCGTCCTCTGTCACTGATGCGTGTTCGTTTGATACCGTGTTGGCGTGTACCTGTGCATGCATCTCAAACTCTGTGTGTGTGTCTTAAAAGTGTGTGTCTAATCCAGTCCAGATGATCAGAGGGAAGATGAGGAGCCGATGGAGAGAAAGAAGAGAGGAAGGTATGAAGTGATGGAGGGAGGAGGAGGAAGAGGAGGAGGAGTGTTTAATAGCGGCTGGCTGGGGTTAGCATGTTAGCAAGGTTTCCATGCAGCCGGCCCGCACATCTGCAGCCAATTATAGAGACACGACAACAGCTCCACAAAGCACTGTGGGGAATCTCTGCTGAGAGGAAAAGACCTACAATAAGACTTTCCACGCGCAGACACCAAACATCTGGATGATTCTGATTCTCGTCCACACAGCTGGAAGAACGGACAGCTGTTATAATCTGTAGAATTAAACTTTTGACTTTATTTATCCAGATGAGGTTCAACATTCACTTCCACTCCTTTACAGTGGAAGCTGCTGGGTACAAACACAACCAGCTACTGAGCATATTGGAGTTAAATGCTTTTCTCAAAGGCACATCAACATCGATTGCTGGGTTTTATAGCCCGGTCACACCATGAGTGGCCAAGAAAATTTGATTCCAACATGATCTCATGTTAAATGAGTAAACGCACTCTAAAACACAGATTAGGTGTTGTCATTGTGAACTTTGTTCCTCCGGCAAAAATTAGACATCCCATTGAGTTCAAACCTGAGTTCAGATGTCAAACTGCTCTGCTTTGACACGTCTTCATTGATGTTAATCCACGGTACATATGTGTAATGCTTTCCCCATCACAAATTCAGCTGTTTACCGCCATCACCAAGAAACGAGGACGGCGCCCATTTTGACGTTCTCAGAGAAACTTGAGCCGTGATCCACGAGGGCCACAGAGGAGCGAAAAACTGTGCGTCTTGGTGTGGCTGTGAACTGACCTGAACTTACCAAACCTACCAATCAGGACTCTTCAATCAACGCCAGCTGGACTATAAATAGCTTGTGTGCGCACAGTTCGGGGCGACTGTGAGCCAGTGATCAGTTTGTCTTGCTGTTGACATCAAATCTAGTGATGTTCCCATCACTACACTTGGGCTCTTTGAAAGGAGCTGATTGGCGGCTCTTTCGGCTCCCAGACAGCTCTTCATTTAGTACCACTGCCAGTGTCGCTGCCTCAGTTACATTCTCATTGCAAGAAATAAAAATGCAAACTTCTTCATCCATATATTGGCACAAATACAAAGATTCTGTATTCTTAATAAATAATTACACAACTTTATACAGACACATTGTGTATATTTCAATTAGTAAAATTAGTATAAGTGTAATTTGTTCATTGTTTATGCTTTCTTTCTTGAAGCGAAATCAAATTTCAGATCCCATCGTTCAGTTAAAAGAGTCGACTCATTCACAACACATCACTAATAAAGTCGGACTCAGATTGTTAATGTTTACCTTGATTTAACTTCTGGTAGCAAAACAAAAACACCAAGATGCGTAAAAAGTAAACGCAAACTTTAACTTGAGTGAAAAATTCACGAATGAATCTTCCTTATAAACGTAAAGAAGGCAAGAGAACAAAAGGAGAGAGACAGAAAAAACAGACAGAACTTGAGTTTCTGGAGAGTTCTGAGATCAGTCAGTGGGTGACGTGAGACAATCCATAAGTTTTGGATGGAAAGCTGGCAAGTCCTGACTTCCTCTTAATTTTATTGATTAAAGTGATACTCAGTAGAAAATAAATGACAGTAATATTTATTTTAGGCCTGAAGCCAACCTGCTTGTGAAAAATTGCCTGAACTCAGCTGCAGATGTTTAAAAAGCTTCCTGTCTGGTCACTGCTTTTAATTCTACGTGTGCCTCCCACCTACCGACATCCGTCCTGGTCTTTGTCCTGGAGTCCAGACTCAGACAGACGGTCACAGACATGCAGGTGACCTCCTTCCCTCCTCGCTGACAGTCTTTGTTAAAGATGTTGACCTTCTCAGGTTCAAAGGTCAGCTTGGCCTGAATCCGCACCACGCCACGAGACCTGAAGGGAGGGAACGGGCTATCATCACGTTGTGTTTGTCTGTATCTGTTCACTTGTTTAATTCACATAGTTGGGAGTCAGTTACCATTTGAGGGACAAAAACTGCCCCCTTAAGGTAAACCATTAGCATTTTGTTAGGAGGAAGATTTTAGTTTTGTCAGATTAAGGTTAAGATTAACACTGGGGAGTTAGGGTTAGGCAAGAAGTGGTTATGGATATGCTTTAAGTATCCAGGGAATTAATGTAAAGCTTTGTGACGCTGTATTCAGACACAGTGCTTCAAGCAAAAATGCTAACATCAACATGCTAACATGCTCACATTGATTTTGCTAACATGCTGATGTTTAGCAGGTTTAATGTTTACCAAGTTCCCCATTACTGTGTCTCAAATTGCACCCTTCCATACTTACAATTGCTTTTTTAGTGCGCTGACAAGTACCACCTACGTATTTTCAAACTTGTGAAAATGGCGGCCGAGGACGCTGCAGCAGTTTCAAGTTGCGATAATACAAGTAGAAGAAGGCTATGTTTGTTTTTATGTATTTTTAATTAAATGTAATTAAAATCAAGTGAGCAAGCAGGCCGGCAGATATTTTGAAGGTATTTTGAACAATTGCGGTCGAATGATGGCGATAATGATCTGCCCGGTTACAATTCGTCACTGAAGAAGAAGAAGAAGAAAAGACCAAAAGTTGAGATCATCATTTTTGGTAAGTGAATGAAAGTCATTAATATTCATCCTCTGGGGGACACGAATGTCAACATTTCATGGCACTTCATCCAAAAGATGTTGTGATATTTCAGTCTGGACCAAAGTGTTGACACATAAAGACATGCTGCCAGCGTGTGTGTGTGTGTGTGTGTGTGTGATGGTCTGACCAGACGATAACGGCAGCTCCAAGTGCTCCCACTGCGAGGTCAACAAGCCCGTCTCCATTGACATCCAAAACCCCGTGAAGACTTTGACCGAAATACTGCAGACCTGCAGAGAAACCAGCTGCTGACAGACGCTGGAGAGAGAGAGAGAGAGAGAGAGGGAGATTGATTTCCTGCTCAGATTCCTCCTATTGGCTGAACTGGTTCAGCATCTGTCACCTGTCTGTACTGGTGTTGGATGGTTTTGTCCTGGCCATAAAACACATAGACCGCCCCCTGGTGGTCATCTTCTAGTGGTGCTCCCGCCACCAGCTCCCTGAATCCGTCCCCGTTCATGTCGGGTATCTGGGTCAACGCAGAACCCAGGCGGGCGTTCTGAGAGCGGTCAGAAGCCTCCAGCGCCCCCTGCAGGATGAAAGATGTCTAGAGAGAAGAGCTTTAGTTTAGTTTTCTCGGTCTCTCCGATTCCTCCCATGATAGATGTGTGTCTTTACCAGCATGCTGAGCAACTAAACAAACTGTGAGGATTAATCTTGCAGCAGTACCTGTGGCGGCCGGTGTGCATGTACCTGTGGCGGCCGGTGTGCATGTACCTGTGGTGTAACTGTGTAGATGTAAACCTTCCCTCTCTCCCAGCCCTGGCTATAGAACATGGGTGCTGCCACTAGCAGTATGTCCGTGTGTCCGTCGCCGTCTACGTCCATCGATAACAACTCACTGCCGAAATATGACCCGATCTGGAAAAAAATACAGCGTTAGAAAAACAAAACAATGGAAAAATTGTTTATAGTATATGTACTTTACACTGTATAACATAGCAGAGCCGTATAAAGTAGTTGGCATGTCAAAATCCAGCAGCACCTTCAAACTAGGTGCATCTCTCATTCTATTCATAAGATGAAGATCAACCAGGGGAAGAGTTGGCATCCTGTTTCACTTTTAGTAGCCACATAGAAATATTTAAAGGAACTTTGAATCATGCAAAGCTGCCACACAGGAGTCACAGAACTACAATATAGGAGCGGAAGTAGTATAATAGGTCTCCTTTAAGAAAGTTGTTTAACCACGTGTGTTATATTTTCTTATTACACTCACTGCCTGCAAACCACAACATGGACAATATTAATATGTCATGTAGAAAAATCATGTTGTTGAATTATCAACATATGGAGCTTTTGGCTTTCACATTTCCAAGGTTTCCTAGACTGTAAAGTAGTGTCATCAGATGTGTGGCTGGTCCTGGTACAACTCATCATCATGGATTTCATTTCTAGAAATCTGGCCAAGTTTATTAGTGGACCAAATCCATGACAACCCAGAGTTGAGACCAGGAGGCAGAGTCGCAGTTTAACACACTTCTCTGCCCTTCTTTTTCAGCAGTTACCCACCCAAAACCCTACGCAGAGTCGCAGTCTAACACACTTCTCTGCTCCTCCATTTCAGGAGTTACTTAGTGAAAATCCTATAGTGACGGTGTCTGCCCCCCGACCATCGAAATTATTTAAAAAGGTAAACAGAAGAGGAGCTGTGCATAAAAACCTCATAAAAATTAAAACCACAAGAGCAATAGTGCAAACGAATAGGAGAGTTAAATGTGGACTCTTAAACATCAGATCTCTCTCTTCTAAAGGTGTACTAGTAAATGAACTAATATCAGATTATGATATTGATTTATTTGGTCTTACTGAAACCTGGCTGGGTGATGGAGAATATGTTAGCCTAAATGAATCCACCCCTCCCAGTCATATTAATACTCACATTCCTCGAGGCACAGGCCGAGGAGGTGGAGTTGCAGCTATCTTCGACTCTAGCCTACTAATCAGCTCTAAACCTAAACTAAACTATAACTCATTTGAAAGTCTTGTTCTTAGTCTTTCGCACCCAAGTTGGAAATCACTGCAACCAATTCTTTTTGTTATAGTGTACCGAGCACCTGGCCCGTACTCTGAATTCTTATCTGAATTTGCAGAGTTTTTGTCAACTTTAGTCCTTAAAACGGACAAAGTTATTATTGTAGGAGATTTTAATATTCATGTGGATGTTGAGAATGACAGCTTCAGTACTGCGTTTATCTCTTTGTTAGATTCCATCGGCTTCTCTCTGAGTGTTCATGAACCGACTCACTGTTTTAACCACACCCTCGACCTTGTTTTGGTGTATGGTATTGAAATTGAACATTTAGTGGTGTTCCCACAGAATCCCTCTTTATCCGACCACTGTTTGATAACTTTTGAGTTTGTATTGCTGAACTACTCGCCATTGGGCAAAAATTTCTATACAAGATGTCTGTCTGATAGTGCTGTAGCTAAATTTAAGGATGCGATTCCATCAGCTCTAAATACATTATCTAGTCACAAAGTAACGGAGGACTCCTATGCTAATTTCAGTCCCTCCCAAATCGATCATCTTGTTGATAGTGCTGCAGGCTCGCTGCGAATGACACTCGACTCTGTAGCCCCTCTAAAAAAGAAAATACTAAAACAAAGACGGTTAGCTCCATGGTATAATACTGAAACTCGCAAATTAAAGCAAATATCACGGAAACTTGAGAGGAATTGGCGTTCCACCAAAGTGGAAAATTCTCGTTTAATTTGGCAAGATAGTCTTAAAACTTATAGGAAGGCCCTCCGTAATGCCAGAGCAGCGTACTACTCGTCATTAATAGAGGAAAATAGGAACAACCCCAGGTTTCTTTTCAGCACTGTAGCCAGGCTGACAGAGAGTCACAGCTCTATTGAGCCAAGTATTCCCATAGCTCTCAGTAGTTACGATTTCATGAGCTTCTTTAATGATAAAATTCTAGCTATTAGAGACAAAATTCACCAAGACCTGCCCTCAATTGGCACCGACTTATCTCTTAACTCAGGAACCTTAGAAACAGCTGTAGAACCAGATACATGTTTAGACTGTTTTGCTTCCCTCAATCTTTACCAACTAACTTCAATAATTTCTTCATCTAAACCATCAACCTGCCTCTTAGACCCCATCCCGACTAGGCTGCTTAAAGATGTTCTACCCTTAGTCAGCACCTCTATACTAGATATGATCAATCTATCTTTATCAACAGGCTATGTACCACAGTACTTTAAAGTAGCTGTAATTAAACCTCTTCTGAAAAAGCCCAAACTTGATCCGGATGTTTTAGCCAACTATAGACCTATATCTAACCTTCCATTTCTCTCTAAGGTTCTGGAGAAAGCAGTTGCTAAACAGCTGTGTGACTTTCTACAGAGCAATAGTTTATTTGAGGATTTTCAGTCAGGATTTAGAGCTCATCATAGCACAGAGACAGCACTGGTGAAAATTACTAATGACCTCCTTATTGCATCAGACAAAGGACTTGTCTCTGTACTGGTTTTATTAGATCTTAGTGCTGCATTTGATACCATTGATCATCAGATCCTATTGCAGAGACTGGAATATTTCATTGGCATTAAAGGAACCGCTCTAAGCTGGTTTAAGTCCTATTTATCAGATCGATTTCAGTTTGTACATGTTAACAATGAGTCCTCCATGCACGCCAAAGTTAGTCATGGAGTTCCTCAAGGATCTGTCCTTGGACCAATCCTCTTCACTTTATATATGCTTCCTTTAGGCAATATTATCAGGAAACATTCCATAAGCTTTCATTGTTATGCAGATGATACTCAGTTATATCTATCGATCAAGCCAGATGAAACTCATCAGTTAGCTAAACTTCAAATGTGCCTTCAGGATGTTAAAACCTGGATGACCTGTAATTTTCTCATGTTAAACTCAGATAAAACTGAAGTTATTGCTCTGGGGCCTAAGCACCTCCGTGACGCATTATCTAAAGATATAGTTTCCCTGGATGGCATCACCTTGGCCTCCAGCACCACTGTGAGGAATCTTGGAGTTATCTTTGATCAGGACATGTCGTTTAAGTCTCACATTAAGCAAATTTTAAGGACCGCCTTTTTTCACCTACATAATATTGCGAAAATCAGGAACATCATGTCTAAAAATGATGCAGAAAAACTAGTCCATGCATTTGTTACTTCTAGGCTGGATTACTGCAATTCCTTATTATCAGGCTGCTCGAAAAAGTCCATTAAGACTCTTCAGCTGATCCAGAATGCTGCAGCACGTGTTCTGACAGGAACCAGGAAAAGAGATCACATTTCTCCTGTCTTAGCTTCTCTGCATTGGCTTCCAGTAAAATCCAGAATAGAATTTAAAATCATTCTTCTTACCTACAAAGCTCTTAATGGTCAGGCACCATCTTATCTTAAAGAGCTCATAGTACCTTACTACCCCACCAGAGCACTGCGCTCCCAGACTGCAGGGTTACTTGTGGTTCCTAGAGTCTCCAAAAGTAGACTAGGAGCCAGAGCGTTCAGCTATCAAGCTCCTCTCCTGTGGAACCAGGTTCCAGTTTGGGTTCAGGAGGCAGACACCATCTCCACATTTAAGAGTAGGCTTAAGACTTTCCTCTTTGATAAAGCTTATAGTTAGGGCTGGCTCAGGTAGTCCTGAACCATCCCTTAGTTATGCTGCTATAGGCCTAGACTGCCGGGGGATTTCCCATGATGCACTGAGCTCCTCTCTCCTCTACTTTCTCTCCCTCTGTATGCAACCTTATCCCATTATTGCATGTTACTAACACAACTTCTCCCCTTTCTGGTAGTCTTGTGCTTTCTCGTCTCTCTCCTCTCTCCTATCACTTCCTGCAGGTTTTCTGGCTCTGGAGCTGTGGAGTCTGGATCTGTGGCTGTGGGTCACCTGCTGCCCCCGTGTTCCTGCTCGACACCCTCTGCTGCAACGACTATTGTTGCTAGTCTTATTGTTATTATTGTTATTATAATCATTAACATTATGATGGTTACCATTAACACTACTATAAATATCTGTACCATTTTTCATTTAGTCTATAGCAACATTACCTTCACTGTGTGTACCTCTGTGTGTATATTGTGTAGGCTGCCTCCCTCCCCTCTCTCTCTCTCCTTACATCTCTCTCTCCTTACATCTCTCTCTCTCTCTCCTTACATCTCTCTCTCTCTCTCTCTCTCTCTCTCTCTCACCCCAACCGGTCGAGGCAGATGGCCGCCCACCCTGAGCCATGGTTCTGCTCGAGGTTTCTGCCTCTTAAAAGGAAGTTTTTCCTTGCCTCTGTCGCCTAGTGCTTGCTCTTGGTGGGAACTGTTGGGCTTCTGTAAATAACATCACAGAGTATGGTCTAGACCTGCTCTTTTATGAAAAGCGCTGTGAGATAACTGTTGTTGTGATTTGGCGCTATATAAATAAAATTGAATTGAATTGAATTGAATGGAGACAGCCATGTGTCACGCATGTATGGAAACATTCAAAGGTACAATATCTACATGCTTCTGTGTGTGTGCGTGTGACCTGCTTTCCCAGCAGTGCCTGCAGGATGGTCAGGTTTCCAGTGTTCTTCAGAGTAAAGACGATGACCTTGCCGGTGTGGTTGAACCTCGGAGCTCCGGCAACGTAGAGCTGAGAGCCGCGAGGCGAAATGAGTGAACCCACAGAGTAACCTGAAACCAGAGAAGAGACAGAGACAGAACACAAGATATTTTTTATTTTTCATCTCTTTCCTACTTAAAGGCAGGGTCAACTATCCTAATCCAGATTCAGTGAATATCTCCTCATGTCCGCTAGCTGTTCTTCGTGTATGTGTGCTGAAAAACCATCTGGTGTTTGTACTCAGCCCTGGATCTGTAAATGGGAAACAAACAAAGTGGTGGACCCCGCCACACAGCACTATTTCAGCCGTTCCAGCCTGAAAATGACCTAGCCACGGATATCCAGCTCACTGAACAACTCTTATTGATTTTAATGAATGTAAGGCCTTTCCAGTGGTTCCACCCTTTGTTAACAGCTGAACATCTGAACGTAACTTTGTGGAACTATGTACCTTTCTGCAGAGCCGTCTAGTACCGCAAGCAACATGACTTTGAAGTGGGCGTTGCTGTCTAAAAAGAAAATGATGATTGATTGGATGGAGCACATGCACTCTTATGTTTTGTTTCAAATGACCTATAAAATACTACTGTTATAAACCGTCAAACTGATCTCAAACCAGCCCAAATTTTGTCCAGCCGCCCAAACTAATTTTGACCTGCACAATCTAAATTAAAACCCCCCAATCTAGCAACACTGGGTACTTCATAAGCCATCATGGTCACGCCCCCTTTTTGGGGATAGAAAACCAACGGTCCTAAAAGATATCAATGCAATTTGAGGAATGTTTGTATTACAAATTTGACATGTGTGTACGCATTTATTTTGTGTTAAACAAACCTTTGTTTTATTTACTTGTCTTATAATTATTTTACGACCCTGTCTGAACCTGAGAGCTTGCGATACGGTAGTAAATTAGGGTTGATTGGTCCTGTTAACAGCTATCTAAGCTAGGCAGCTGTTGCTGCTACTGTCTGACTTCTCATTCAAGTTTGCTATCATCAGTGGTCACTGTCACCGGCATCATTTAGCTATTTATCACATTACCTAGCATCAGTGAATATTTAGGTATCTTATATGCCTCAAACCAGATCTGGATTCTTATATTTATTTGTTTTACAACATGCCACACACCAGCTTTTCTGCATTTTTCTGTTTCTCTCATTATGTGAGAGCGTGACTCTTTTCCCCAAAAGGGGTGTAGCCTTGGCATCTGTCACTTTATGCCGATCTGATGTAAACTTTTGTTTGTGAGGCACTGTGTAATAAAATTGCAACCTCTAGGAAGCACCAACATGGTGTTCAATTGGAAGTATTTCAGTTTAAAGCTAGATGCATACAAACAAACTAATAAGGCATCAAACATCAGACATGAGAAACAAATATAAGTATAGAGATGTAAGTGCAGTACAGGCTCTATAATTTGACATGTCATTACCCAGATAAGCTCCGTGGTTCTTCAGATCATCTGGAAACTCGTCCTTATAGGAGGATTTTGGTGGAACAACTTTTCCATGTTTAGTTTCTTTCAGCACTGCACCATTCCAGTCGTAGGCGCCCACCGCCCCGAGCAGAACACCGTCCTGAAGGGACAACTTGGATTTTAAAGGAGATCACTGGAACATAATGTACCACATATGTACACACTGAAGACCGGGAAGACTTCACGTGTTTAGTACTGAATGAATCCACCAGCTGAGCCACTGACGAACTTCTGCAGTTTGTGATTCCAAGTGGGATGTTTTAGTGCTTAATGTATATTTTCACATACGTTTCCCATCAAGCAGCTCAAGTAACAGGACACATAAAGGGTTCAGTTACACTGCTCCTGAGTAGATTTTACTATCTGAAAGCTGAGCATCACCAATACTCTGAGGTTTGATCAATTAGGCCTCAGTTGACTCAGAGAAGAACGTTAATGCTCTATGGGCCCAAAAATGCTGAAGCCTGAGGACAGCCATGGAAGAAGTACTCAAATCCAGAACTGAGCTCCATCTGGGAACACAATATCCAATTCAGTTGATAGACACATACATCACGATGCAGATGCAAAACTCGACCTTCAAGGCCAGAGTCAAGTGTCCTTTGGATCTGTGATTAAAAGTAGTCTCAGCATTGAATCTGAACGTTGATCAGAGGTTGTTGTTGCTTGCAAACTTTTCCACCTGATTGGATTCACATGTTCAGTGTAGCTATGGTTACATTTTCTGCTGGAGATTAAATCGTTCAGATCATAAATCTCAGTCCAAGTGAAGTCACAAGTCATTGCTGTTAAACTTTAAATATTTTGTTTGCTTTGAGGACATCATTGGGTTAAACCAACTTCTGTTTCTCTTTGTGGAAAATAACTCAAATCTAACATGTGGTCTCATTTGGCATTGTGAATACGGCTTCAGATCTCAAAGTGATAGATAGTTCAACAGTTTGGGAAGTGCATTTACTCATTTTCTTTCCAACAGTTAGATGAGAAGATTCTCTCTTAATTTGATCCTACAACTAGCAGCTGCTCAGCTTAGCTAAGGGAACCAGTCTCCACAGCAAAATGTCAAACTGTTCCTTTAAAAATACGGTTGGTTCAGGTCTCAGTTTTATACTAGACTCTATGCTCTACCCACATATCATGATAGGGTTGGGGAGTGGGGGGGGATTAGTAAAATTTAAATTTAAATGTAATTTTGTCAGCATTTTTGGTAACAAACACTGCAGCCAGCAGCAGTTTCAGCATTGTCCTTAAACTCAGTCAGACCGTCTCACAACACGTGTGCAGTCAGTCGCACATTCAGATGAACTCAGGCGGTCGTAAAGTCCAGATATGAAAGTTATTAAAGTGTTGAGTCATAGTCTCTATGGGCCAGTGAGTCAAGGACAACAGTGAGTGACCAAATCCTTGGCGACGACAGCGCCACAAAGCATTGCGTCTGCTTAGATCTGAGCAGCACATGGACTGACTCTGGATCTGCAGATTCAATGTTAAATGTCACAACACTGCTTTTTTAATCCCGTAGGAGGGAGAGGATGGTTTTCCTGCAGGATGGCTCGGTCAGAGATGATACCATGAGTTCTGTTTTCCACATCAGTCTGACTCCAACCTGATTGCACGTATTTACCTTTTAATCCTGAAACTTAAGAGCAGGAAACTCTCTGCATACTTCTCTGTGTATGTGATGGTTTGCATAGTTGTTCGTGAATGCATGTGTGTGTTTGGGTTGAAGTCTGTTCTGCCATGTGTTCCTGGATGTATTAATGTGTGTGAGTGTTTTGTTGGCAGCTTTACGTTCAGGAAAACCATCTGCTCTGTGTTACACATAGAAAGTTTCCACGACACCATTTTCACTCCTTGACGTTGGAATTCAGGCAAATACAATTTTCCCTGGATGCAAAACAACATAAATATTTCTAGAAGCTTCTTATTCTGCAGCTTCAGACATCTGTCAGGACCAGAACCAGACCCATACTGAGTGTTCAAGGATGATAGTGATAGCAAAAGTTGAGAGTTAGATTTTTTGTCGACTGTGTTTCTGTTGGAATGAAATAAAATACACAACTCTGCTCCTGTCTTCTATTGACATTAGTGGATCGTGTTTCCTTTACGGGAGAAAACTGGAGGAAACTCTGTAATTGTTACCGACATCAACCAGATATTAAAACCTGCAAAGTCCCAAAAAGTAGAGATCCGGATGTCTTCCAGAATTTATAATTGTTCTTTATCCAGTATGGACAGATCTTTGGAAGTAAAACCTGTTAAAATAATGAATTAAACTGTCAGCTAATATATAGTATATAATCCAAGGACCTTTCAACAGAGCTGCTCCTTCTTGATTAAAATTTGTGTGATGAAGTATGATGTGTGAATCCTTCACACAGGATTTCAGGAGTTTAAATGTGAATGTGAGCTACTTACTTTGACTAAATGTGAGGAGAAACCCGCCTGAGCCATCTGCAGACCAAAGCCTCGACCCTGAGTGCTGGTTCCTGCAAAACAGAAACCCTACAGAGACTGAGCTCCACACAGACATCACCCTGTTACTTTCACATTTTAATAAATGCATCCTCTTTTAAGTGCCAAAAGTGGTGCCAGTACTTCTGATCCCACTGGGAATCAACAACCCACACTGCAGCTCTCTGCAGCATTTAAATCTCTCTTTTGGTTTGTCAGTCTGTACAGCTGATTCACACTAGTTCTCACCAGCCGACTGATATACAAGTGAAAGCTGCCACTTCCAGCATAACAATACACCTACGCAGATTGTACCTACCTAGCTTAAAATGGTGGTGATGAAGTGGAGAATGTTGAAGACAAAAAAAGAAATAGCTAGACAGATTCAGAGGAATGAAGGCCAAACCAGAAAATATTGGACAGGTGACAAGACAGAACCAAAACAGTAAAGTTGTGGGCTGTAAAACCAAAAGAATGAGCTGAAAGACACCAAAACGCTCTGTAGAGCTGAGGGGGACTGCAGAGTTGGGTAGAAAAAAATCTCTGTGACCACATTTACATTATACATAGTCAGCTTATCAGGTTTTATGGGTACAAAGTTACCAGTTAGCTGTAACATTAAAAATCACTAATGCAGCTTCGGACATTTATCAGCTGACCTTCCAGAGAGAAAATTCTCTCTCCTAGTGCGTCCACAATGTCCTTCAGCGCCGACTCGTCTGTCACGTTGAAGAAGTGTTTCTCATCCGGGTCGCTAGCAATGAACTTGATTTCCTTCAGGAAGGCTTCAGGGTTGATTCCCCGACGGTTGTAATAACCCAAAACCTGGACGAGAACCCAGAGGAAAGACTGAGGGCAGGGGCTAAGAGTTTTTGATGTCCAGAGACACAAAATAACAAAGTGTGTTTGGTGCATGTGCTAGGACAAAAATGGGTAGAGCCAGAAGTAAATTTTAGGTTGCAGGTAAAGATAGAAGGCATCTAAATCAGGACTAGAAAGGAAGTCAGACTGGGTCAGGAGGTATTTGAGGCTTGAAGGTAAAGAGGGACAGACTCACAGCAATAGCGTACATGGTGATGTTGTCTCTCTCGCTGTCGGTGACAGCCTGCAGCAGCTGTGGACTGTCATGAGATTCTCCGTCTGTGATCACAATCATCACCTTCTGAGCACCAGGCCGGCCCCCACGCTTGAACCCCTCAGACCTGCAAGTCACAGACTGAGTGTGAGTGACCCGGGTGGGTTACTGTGTGGGTTTTTTTATTCACAAGGACATATTCTTGTGTTGTACCGCGCCACGTTGATGCCCAGTGCTGTCCTCGTCTCCTCGCCACCCCGCTGGTCGATGCTCCTGGCGGCATCCACCACCTCCTCCACCGTCTGGTACTCACCCAGACTGAACTCATGGACCACTGTGGAGCCGTACTGTACCACACCCACCTGCAGCCAAAACACACCAAACCTGAATTCCTGCACATGAAGGTATCACCACGGCACTGCTGCGACATCTAACTAACCTACCCAGAGACTTTTTCCTTTGCCTGTAGGTCAGTTTCCAGGAAAACCTGCTACTGGTGGCTGGTAGGTTGAAATCTTTACTGAAGGGCAAGTCAGTAAACTGTCGAAAGTAGAAAAACTATTTTTCATTTACTCTCAAGATGTTTAAACCCCGTCCCAGATTCAAAACATTACCAGGTGCTTCCACTACTTTTGCAGGTTTCCCAGTCCTTAGTTGCATGCTGGGACATAAGGTAACCTAAATCCAGGCTACTGTAGCTCACAAGCTCAGTTTCAATACAAGTTTTAAGTTTGAAAGACATCCTGAGTCAGCTGAGCCTGGCAGATATTTGTCAGACCAGACCAAGCTAACACACTAAGCTAAGATGGAGAACACAGTAAACCTTGTAACTGCCAAACATCTCCATGTTAGCATTGTCATTGTAATCATGTTAGCATTCTGACGTTAGCATTGAGCTCAAATGACCACTAAGTCTAAGTACAGCCTCACAGAGCTGCTAGCATGGCTGTAAACCTTCTGAAGGACATACAGCAGGTATAAGAGTTCAAATTATTGCTTTTCTTTCCTCAAGGACTCTTAAGGAATTGTTCACCTTCCTGGCCAAGACTTTTTATTGATCTGGGTTAGGATTTGATCCGCCTCTATTCTGCTTGCCGTTTGTGTCAACTCAGTGTTAATTATGTAGCTAAATACAAGGTTTAACTCTGGAAAACATCCACAGAGAATGGGCTGGGCTAAGTCCCTATTAAAATACCATGTCAATGACAAAATACATTGATTTAATTTTAAAAGTAGCTCCGTTTAAACTGACATTTACCTGGATTTTAAGCCACATGTTGCAACTCTGCGCAACACAGTTCATTTAGTCTTATAAATATAGACAAAATAAAATGACCTCTTGATTTCACCACAGATTCCCTAAAGAATTAAAAAATTTAATTCAGTGTAACAGAGGAACAGAGAACAGAGATGTGTAATTTGCTATTAATTAATAGAGTTCTGAATTTAAAGCCAACTAAATATTTAGATAAAATTATTACTGGACACTTATTCTTCATATATGATGACCTGTATGGAAGCCTGTAGACAAATCTGTGATGTTCAGCTAACCAGTTGTGTCCTAACCAAATATTAAAGCCAAAAATAATCAGCCCCACAATTGTACAATGGCATGTTCAAGTGAGAAAGGTCATTAGTTGCTTGAAAATTAGAAACATACAATAATATAACAGCTCCCTAAGTGGTCTTTTCATCCAGTCATGTCAGTCATCTGTTGTATGCTCTGTTCATGACAAAATTCATTATTACATCCCACTGGACTTGATTGTATCTTAACTTTTGTGATAAACCGACCTGCGTCTGACCTGGGCCGATGTAGAACTTCTGCAGGATGTTGATGAGAAAGTCCCGGACCTCGTACCAGGGGTAGATGGAGTTAGAACCGTCCAAAACAATCACGATGTCCATGAACGTCTCACACCCTACAAGATTTTTAAAAAACACACAGATGGATGGATGGATGGATGGTGTCAGATAGGTAGATGGATGGAAGGATGAAAGATCGCATAGAATAATTAAAGTTTGGATGGATGGATGGTTGAAAGAAAGGTTGGATAGGCGGATGGATGCATCGATTAATGGATGGGTGGATGGATGGAACGATGAAAGGGTAGATGGATGGATGGATGGATGGGTGAATGAAAGGTGGATGGATGGAAGGTTGAATGAAATAATACATAGGAGGATGGATGGATGGATGGATGGAATGTTGGATGGATGGATGGATGGATGATGGATGGATGGATGGAAGGATCAAGGTTAGATGGATGGATGGATGAATGAATGAAAGGTTGGATAGATAGATGAAAGGATAGATGGAATGTTAGATGGATAGATGATGGATGGATAAAAGGATAGATGATGGAAGGATTAAGGTTAGATGGATGGATGGATTGATATATTGATGAAAGTTTAGATGGATGGATGGAGGAATGAAAGGTTGGATAGATGGATGTATGGATGGATGATCGATCTATCGATGAAAGGTTAGTTGGATAGAAAGATTAAAGGGTAGATGGATGGATGGATGGAATGTTAGATGGATGGATGAAAGGATAGATGGATGGAAGGATTAAGGTTAGATGGATAGATGGATGAAAGGTTGGATAGATGGATAGATGGATGAAGGTTACATGGATAGATGGATGGATGAAGGATCAAGGTTAGATGGATGGATAGAATGTTAGATGGATGGATGATGGATGGATAAAAGGATGGATGGATGGAAGGATTAAGGTTAGATGGATGGATGGATGGAATGTTAGATGGATGGATGATCGATCTATCGATGAAAGGTTAGTTGGATAGAAGGATTAAAGGGTAGATGGATGGAAGGATGGATGGATGAAGGATCAAGGTTGGATGGATGGAATGTTAGATGGATGGATGATGGATGAATAAAAGGATGGATGAAAGGTTGGATAGATGGATGGATCGATCTATCGATGAAAGGTTAGTTGGATGGAAGGATTAAAGGGTAGATGGATGGATGGATGGATGGGATGTTAGATGGATGAATGAAAGGTTGGATGGATGGATGGATGATCTATCGATGAATGGTTAGATGGATGGAAGGATTAAAGGGTAGATGGATGGATGGGATGTTGGATGAAGGATAAAAGGTTACATGGATAGATGGATGGAAGGATGAAGGTTAGATGGATGGATGGATGGATGGATCTATCGATGAAAGGTTAGTTGGATGGAAAGATTAAAGGGTAGATGGATGGATGGATGAAAGGTTAGATGGATGGAAGGATGAAGGTTACATGGATAGATGGATGGATGAAAGGGTAGATGGATGGATGGATGGAAGGATGAAGGTTACATGGATAGATGGATGGATGAAAGGGTAGATGGATGGATGGATGGAAGGATCAAGGTTACATGGATAGATGGATGGATGAAAGGGTAGATGGATGGATGATGGATGGATGGAAGGGATGTTAGATGGATGGAAGGATAAAAGGTTACATGGATAGATGGATGGATGAAAGGGTAGATGGATGGATGGATGGATGGAAGGGATGTTAGATGGATGGAAGGATAAAAGGTTACATGGATATATGGATGAAAGGATGTAAGGTTAGATGGATGGATGGATGCGTATAGATTACTCTGCAGGGCGGGTGCGATGGTGTGGGACAGTCTGAAGCTTCGGCTGACTCTGGAGCAGATCCCCGTGCTGTACAGGGAGCTTCCACATTCATGAGACCAGAGCGGACCACAGGTCTGAGGACAAAAACACAGCAGGGATCATTACGCAGACTGTTTATTAATATTGTTACTTACTAAATGTAGTGCTTTGGATGATTTCGACTCGTCAGGTATTTGAAGTGAGGCTGAGCTGATGTGGAGGAAGTTTGTGTGTCACATGACTCACCACAAAGCTGTTGTCCTTTGGGTTGGAGGTCAGCGTCATTCCCAGCCTCATTTTGTCTTTCCTCTCAGACACGTTGTCCAGAGAAAGTTTTCCTGATTCACAACACATCACAGTTAGTTAATCCCTAAACGTTTCACAGGGAAGTTACAGTCTGTGTGGTGGGTGACGTGGTGTGTAAATTTAAAATACTTCAGCTTTCTCGTGTCTTAATCTCTCGTTTGTCTTTCACGTAGTTCAGTGTTTAGATAATGAGATTTGAAAGTACTGGGCTTGTACACAGCAGGCCCATTCACTAAATCTTCACTTGATTATTGGATTCAGGATACTGCTTCTTTTGACATTTAAATGTTTAACATGTTGAGAATTAGCTCAACATCAACTAAACATGCGTAAATGCAATTAGATTGTCTTTTCCAATTTATGACAAACGTTGGATTTTATTTACAAATGAGAAAATGTGAAGATTTTTTACTTTAAAGAAGACGCTCATTGTCCGTTTACACATTTGAGTTTTGATTGAGATAGTCATCACTTTCCCTGAATACAGTACACGCTCTACATTTTAAACATGGAAGCCACAGGAGTAAAGCATGAAAATACAAAGCGAGATAAAACTGCTTTCTGTTTTGATCCACATTACAAACAACCGGTTTCTGTCTCTGAAGAATCTGGAGCCACACAGGCCATCGTAGAAGTAACATATACTCTCTTAAGTACAATTTCTATATTATAGAATTAGAATAGAGTATTTCCAATGAATTGTACTTCTACAATTTCAGAGGGAAATATTTTACTTTTACTGAGATACATTTATTTTAAAGCTAGGTTTCTTTGATTTTACATTTAAAAAAACATTTAATTTGAGCCATAACTTCTGGGTGGCTGTGGCTCAGGAGTTAGTGTGGGTTGCCTGTTAATCAAAAGATCGGAGGTTCAATCCTCGCTTCCTCCAGGCTGCATGTTGAAGTGTTCTTGGGCAAGATACTGAACCCTGAATTGCCCCTAGTGGCTGTTCCACCAGTGTGTGAATGCGATGTAGTGTAACAGCGCTTTGAGTGTTCATAAAGACTAGAAAGGTACTATACTGAGCATTTACTAATATGATGCATTAATATAGATTAAGCGTCCTGCAAAGTGTTGCTCAGATTTAGTGACAATGATCATTTTGTTGCCGGACAAGTTACAACTTTAACTAGAGTTCCGGAAAAATGTTTTTATTAATTTATCTTTGTGTAAAAGATAATAACGTGTGCACTTACAACTAAAAAAAATGTTTTTAAAATCTGAGAATGGGCCTCCCCTCAGAAAAGTCGATATTTCAAACTGGGAAAAGTACTTTTACTGTGAACACTCTCTCCACGGCCTCAACACAAACACCCACACACCTCTTTAATTTACTTGCTTAGTTTCGCACAGTTCCTGGATGCCTGGAATCATGATTATGTTATATGATATCTGAGTATGTTATATGATCACATAGACACCCAACAATTGAGCCTATATTACTCATTGTAGCCCCCCCACAGAGAGGCCCACCTCCCACTTTGAAAACCTCTGCCTTGATAATGCTTGAGCGTGCAGCTGTCAGTATCTGCTTTTACCGTAAACACTCTCTGCACAGCCTCGATACAAACACCTGCTGACACGTTGATGAACACGTCGTATATGTCACAGATTACTCACCCAGGTGGAGTCGGGTGCAGTTTGCAGAGTTTCTGGAATCCAGCGGACATCTGTACACATCACCAGTCTGCTGCTTCCCTGTGGATTCAAAGGGAGCGCCAACCAGCAACCTGGAAGCGCAAACACACACACACACCTGAGGCTGAGACAGTGCAGGAAGCACCACACAGCGATGGGTTAGCAAACTGTAAGGAGCAGTGTTGAGCCTCAGATAAATCTGCTGGATGCTGAATTTAGAGAAAATGCACTTTAACTTCTAGTGCTATATTCTCTCTAATTTAGATTTATTACAGGAAATGTGTCTTTGGTCTGGCTGTTAAGGAGCACAGACTGCACAGAGGATAAAAAGCCTTTGGGTCATATAAATGATAAATACCCTAAATATCAGAAAGAGTCCTCTGAGTGATATTTGATCATCTCAGGATTAAAAAGAGACCTCTCTGGGGTCAATCTCTGAAACCCTTCTTATCTGGTGTGAATCAGCAGGACTGTGAATTATTTTTTTTACAGTCCCTTGGAATTTCAGTTTCAAGCTGAAAGGATTAGCTGCAATTGGTAAGAAACACTGGATTTCATCTGTCAACAGGCTCAATACACAGCTGCGTTACTTTGCACTTTGATGATTTTCGAAGATAATCTTTGGGATTTGGTCACTAAATTTGAGTGAAACTTGTGTGAACGTGCAGCACAAAATAAAAACACAGCTGATTATCTTTGGATAAACTCTCTTACATTTCAGACCCTGCCGCTCCCTGCCTGTCCAGTTGTCCCCTGTGTGTTCCCGCCTGTCATCGTCACCTGTTAGCACCTATGCTGTTTGCTTCAGCTGGTAAAGGTAAAGTCATTGTAAAGCAAAAAAACGCTGAATATTCCCAACTGAATATTCCCAACTGAATATTGAATTCTTGTTTATCAGAAACTGAAAATTGCCAAGGCACTCTTTATTATTTTATGGACCCAAAATTGAGGAATAATCTGATGATTAAACACATAACAGGAACAGATTGATGCAACATGCGTGTTCTGGTCTTAATGAGCAGTTGGGCAGTGGAGAAGTGAATCCTGCTGCAGGACTGGTTCCTGTGGACATTATGATGCTTTGAAATTCATTCATGCTTATGTAAATCTAAGCTGAGTACAGCTGCCATCCTCCATGGACTGCACTTTTCAAACCCGCAAGCCTAGCGTTAGATTATCGGTTTGGTGATCCTTTAACTATATTATCAAATGTAGGCAGAAACGTAATGCAAAAACATCTTGACTGTTTAGTTCTACGATGGTGCTAGCTGACTTTCCCCTCCTGCACTTAGAAGCCAGCTCTTGTAGCAGCAGCAGGAGCTGCTGGGAGGTCAGCGGTTGTGTTAAACGCAGATCCTGCTGCTGCAGTGTCACACAGCGGGCAGGTTATTAGTGTTAACCAGAGTAAACACCGCCACATGTGGCCTGGACAGCGGTTCTGGGAAGTGGGCTGAGTCACATACCAGAGGACATGCCATAGTATAGGGCTAACCTCCAATCTGCTAATGCATCTCCCGTCCACATCAAAGAGTCCACATCCTGTAGCGGCTCACAGCAGACTCTGATCCTCTGACATCACTCCATCATGCTGATCATTTCCTCAGAAGGTAGCTTTTAGGTAAAACCTCTGAACTATACCGTCCTCTTCTGCTACGGCTTTATTGGACTACTTGTTACCACATTACTGATTTCCTGCAGCAGCCCTGTACGGGTATGGACCTGCGTTATTCAGCAGTGGGTTTTATACGAAGGTGGAGGGGAAACATTGAGAGACGGACATCATAGGCTACTTTACTCTATCTTTCCTCAAAGCTGGAGACTTTTACATATAAATTAACGTCCGTTAAAGTCAAGCCCTTTCCACAAAATCACCTCAGGTAAATCTCTCTGTATTTGCAGCATACCAGAGTTATTAAATCTGGTGTCTGTGGCGTCCCACACTGGCAAACCAGGTAGTGATGCATTTTACACCAACCAGCAATGACAGGTTTGCCAGGGGCAACTCAGAACCACGTAGAAAGCTAAAGGAGCCGCCATCAGAGAGAATGTTTATTGGTAATTTGTTTATCATGATTGTACAGTTTGTGTTAATATCCTTTTGGCAGCATTGTATTGTATGCAGTCATGCCAATAGAGCCACTTAAATTGAAATTGAACGGAGATGAAGCAACTTTCTACTGACTACTGAAAATGTTTTAGAAATTTTTCTGCTTTGAAGTTCAGCTGCTGCTGCTGCTGAAAATGTTTGGCGTTATGGGTCGATGGTGGTAGTTTGGTTTTAGCGGTGGACGCACTGCACGCTTGTTGAATGTGTGAGGAGGAAAACCCCATAGCAGACCAAACACACACACACAGATCTCAGCATGAAGGCTGGGACGCGACAGAAACACTCGGCTCTGTAAACACAAACCTCTGGGAGGTTTGACCTCCCAGAGGTCAACACAGGTCAACAGGTTTGACCTCTAACAGACACGTGAACCTCAACAAAACACACAAACAGCTCACCATGGCGGTCTACTTGAGTTTTATTAAAGTTTTCCATGGGTTTATGTATCTTTTCTTAATGAGAGTGTAACTCAGAGGAATGTAAATAAAGATGATTTGATTTGCAGCCCACATGTTTGGCTTTAGCAGAGGACTTGGCTGGAACAGAAAAACTTCACACATAGTTTGAAATGCCGACTGTTCATTTCCCTTTGCATTCAGCAGCTCTCTCTCACACCATGCTTGTCGAGACTGAATTTTAAGGACCAGTAAGGAGGATGTAGTGGAATCTAGCTGCGAGGCTGCAAATTGTATCCAAATGAATACCCCTGGCCTCGCCCTCCTCTTCCCAGCATATAGGAGAATCTACAGTGGCCACAAAACTCTTTCGAGCCAGTGTTTGGTTGTCCGTTCTGGGCTTTCTGTAGAAACCTGCCAGTGCAATTTCAGGCAGCACAGACATAACATACACATGCCACCAGGGGGCCTCTACATATACCTTTTCTGGCAGGTAACAAACACTTAGATTCCCTAGAGCTCCCTCTATGGTAATCCCAAATATTGGTAATCTCAGGCTTACACACTGGTCGTCATCTTCATGTCTTCCCAGGAGAGTAAACAAATGCTCACATTTGGCCTCATGTGACTCTAACGAACCAAGCAGTATCCATCACCTTGATAACGGCCCCACAAAGTTCCATATCTGGGACTCTCTGCAAGTCAGTCAGAACATGAAGAAGCCTTTTGGATGAGAGGGGAAAACGTCTTCAAGTATCTCTGAGACGTTTTAAGAGGAGACACGCCACGCCAGCCCATTAGGGTTGGGCCGATAGACGATGCCATTGTCCATCGGCGACAGACATCACCACGTTGAGCCGGCATCGTGATTGTAAAACCCCCGCCCCCCCAGCAAAAAATTATTATACCACCCTGTGAAAGCAGGTTTTAATGACCACCAACATTCTTATTATCGTTTTTATATATGCTTTGCACCTGCCTCTTCTCTCGCTCACACTCAACTCAGGTAAATCAGCAGTATGTTTTATAAAGTCGCCTACGACTGAGAACTCATCTTTTTTCCATGTATTTCCACCCGCGATCCGTTATCATGGCAGCAGGTGAGCCTCACGTCGGCTTATTAATGATGAAGCCTATCAAACATCAAACATCTGCACTCTGTGTGTTCACCGTTGTTTTACCTGGTCCGTGAGTAAAATATCCACCACGACTTGTAATGTAAGTTAAAAGTCTACCAATTCTTTTACCGAGTGAAGTCTGTGCGAGAACACATGCACATAACGACTGCTGCCCCCGACGGAAATTTTGTAGACATCGTCCCAACCCTACAGCCCATAACACAAAAACGCCCTCCCACTATAACAACACATTGTCACTCCCGAATCGTCACATTTTGACGCTTGGTCAAGGCCCTTTGGCCCTCAAAAACTGACTCTACAGGGCTTCCCCCACTGCGTTGAACTCCGATTGGGTCTTGACCATGCGTCCATATGTGACTAAACATATTAGGCCTGACTTAAGGGTCTACCACACATGCGTAGTAGAAGTATAACCTGTGGGGAATAACCTTATTTTTGGACAAAATCATCTTTTTTCAGTAGCTTTATCAGACTTTCCAGCTGATTCTATTCATGGAGTTTTTATGTCCCAGTCATCAGTGAAAAAGTGCAGTGATAGCTCTTTTTCTATTCATTTAATAGGGGCCTGATCTCCCCAGAGGCATTACCATAGCCTATAAGGACTTCAAGTCCAGTTGATTTTAACCTTCCTTGTATAACTACGATCTGAATGACTGAGAATCTTCACAGACATCTGACATCTTATTTTATCTTTTATTGCAATGAATGAGAGGACTGAGTTTCTTCACACAGTCAGTCTGAACGAAGCGTTCGTGCTCAGCTCTGAACAATGCCAGTTCGCTGGTGAAACTGGCATATATTTGTGCACATAGAGGTGGTGGTAAGTGGTAAGGAGTGCAGGTGTTAAAGGTCACAGGACCCTAATGGTTTTTGGGTACAAATAATATTCCTGAGCACAGTCATGGATAAAGGAGAAGGAAGAGCAACAGCAGCTTATTCCATTCGAGTCTGTCTGCATAACAACATCAGCAAAATACATGAGATGTTATTGTCACCAGGCTGTGTAGAAAAACAACTCTGCAGAATAACGATGTCAAATCCCCCCTTTAAAAACCCACACAGAGCTGAGTGATGGGCTTCCCAGAGGGAGGCTGGGGAATAACAAACCGCAACACATAGTTTCCAGATCCGCCGATCTGCCTGGGGATGCAGGAGAAGCCGGTCTCGAGACAAACGCAAATACTTTCCACTTATTTACCTGCGACTTCAAAGGAAGAGAGATTTTGTAATCCTGGAAGACTGCGAGGAATTCATCAAGGCTGAAATGTTTCCAGATAAAAACAATGAGGCAAAACCAGGAATGTTGTACAATCTCACCTGCAGCCGCAGACAGACAATAAAAAGGACAACAACAGCGTGGCTGAAGACTCTCAGACCCAAAAAAGGCAGCGTCTGTATTTATGCTTGATCATTTGGTGTGATGGTATCATGTATGTGTGTCAGCACCACAACTTAAAGGTTACAATGTGATGTTTTCTTGGCCCAGACCAGTACTACAGGTGGGAAAGTGACCGCGAGAGTCTTTTGACACAACTGGAAAATACATATATGTAATAGGCATATTTATCTTGTCAGTAAAGGAATTCCATGGGTCCTGCAACTGTGTGTTGCTAGGTTGTTAAAAAAGGCGGCGGGAAGCGAGCTGACTGAGGCACACAGGGACACGAAGATGGCATTATCAGAAATTTCGAAAAGTTTACCGAGACTTCCGAGATGAGTTGACAGAAAAGCAGCCGTTTATTCTTCCTGCTACGAGCTCTACGAGGCTGGTGTGCATCATTTGCAAGGAGTCTGTTGCGATTTTCAAAAGTGGAAATATTAAACGCCACTATCAATCTAAACGCAGAAAACTTACCCAAAGCAGTCTGAGGTGAGGACACAGAAAATGAATGTTCTCAAAGCACATTATGAGCAATCTGCACGAGTCCTGTCTCACTCCCTCACAGCACATGAGGATTTTTAGGACAACAGATGGAGAAATTGTAAGCTAGTTCATGGATGCTGAGTGTGAAACACAAGGAAAAGACATGAACTTAAAGCCACAAGACGAGCTGAGGTACTGTATTATTGTTAACTGGGCGTAGGAAGGTAACAAATTGTTGGGTTTGAGGGTTGACTTACTGGACCTCAATTTAAGTTTAAATACTGTCACTTTCCCAATCAAATACCCCTGAGCTACACTGAGAAGAAAAGATTAGAAAAGATGGTTTGCCATGAGAAGGGACTAGACTAAGGGGGTTCACACCAGCCTTGGGTTGGTGTGAACGCCAGAATCGAACTCTGGAGTGGACAAAAACAGCCGCTCGAACTCTGGAGCGGTTCACTTCTGGTGTGAACACCATTCGAACCAAAAACAGGAAGTGCACTATCCTATTTGTCATTTCGTTGGTTAGAAAAAACGTTTTCTCTTCCTGTTCTGGTGACTGGTGAACGCGTTTACTACCAAAATGTCGACTAGAGAGGGAAAAACCTGGACTCAGGACGAAGTGAGCTGCCTCCTGAATATTTGGGCTGAAGAGAACGTTTCTGTTACTAGAGAAGCTGCAGAAGAACTCTGAGGTGTTACAACTATTCAGCCATAAAGGATGATGGATTCCAGCGATCTGTTGAGCAGTGTCGTGTGAAAGTTAAAAACTGCATCAACAGTACATCAAAGTACTGCAGTATGTAAGTATTTGTAGGGGTTAGGTATTTTGTCCCGCCGACTGTATGACCAATAATCGAACGTCGTTTCTACCACGTGGCTTTTGATTCAAATTTCTGGACTGTTTTTGTTTTGTCTTTGAACGCAAACCGGCCCAGCTGGAAAACTGAACAATGCATCACCCTCGCGTTGGTTCAATTCAGGAACCGGACCTTTAGGTGTGAACCCGCCCTGAGATTAGATGAGATTAGAAACGCACAGCAGAGAAGGCATCTCGCGTCACCTCACATCTGTTAGCTTTATCTAATTTGATCTCTTCATTTGGCCTCCTGCTGCCCTTAACATTTCATATAGGGTTGTTAGATTAGATCACATTAAATTAGACTGGATTCAACTAGATGAGTTAAGATTATAGTAGATAACAGACAAGGCTCGATAACTAGAGACAACATATGATGAGACAAAACAAGATGACGTGAAATGAGAAAATCAGATTATATAGGACATATATATGAGATTAGATGTGATGAAATGAGATTAGACAAGTAGAGGTGAGTTGAGAAAAGATTTTTATTTGTCATCTTATCTCATCTGGTCTCATTTTATCTCATTTCACTTATCCTTCTTATCTCATCTCATTTAATTTTATCTCATCTCATTTAATTTATCTCATCTCACTTGATCTTATCTTTCTTTCCGCACGTAATTTATCTTACCTCATCTCTTCATGTCAACTCATCTCACTTTTTCTTCTCTCACTTGATCTTATCTTTCTTATCTCACTTAAGTTTCTCATCTCACTTCATCTGATCTTTCTTATCTCATCTCACTTAATTTTATCTCATCTCGTCTCATGTCAACTCATCTCACTTTTATCTCATCTCACTTCATCTTATCTTTCTTTCCGCATGTAATTTATCTTACCTCATCTCGTCTCATGTCAACTCATCTCACTTTTATCTCATCTCACTTGATCTTATCTTTCTTTCCACACGTAATTTATCTTACCTCATCTCGTCTCATGTCAACTCATCTCACTTTTATCTCATCTCACTTGATCTTATCTTTCTTATCTCACTTAAGTTTCTCATCTCACTTCATCTGATCTTTCTTATCTTGTCTCATGTCAACTCATCTCACTTTTATTTCATCTCACTTCATCTTATCTTTCTTTCCGCACGTAATTTATCTTACCTCATTTGGTCTCATGTCAACTCATCTCACTTTTATCTCATCTCACTTCATCTTATCTTTCTTTCCGCACGTAATTTATCTTACCTCATCTCGTCTCATGTCAACTCATCTCACTTTTATCTCATCTCACTTCATCTTATCTTTCTTATCTCATCCTACTTCATCTCATATAATTTCATCTCATCTACCTTGCAGCAGAAAGAAGCAGCTGAAGGTTTAAATGTGTCCTCTGGAATTTGGGAATCCAACAGCAGGTTGGAAACATAAAGATGACGGATGAGAGACGAGACAAACACTCACAGCAGACTCATGACTGCCAAGGACAAACTGTACAGGAGCATGTGAGTGAATGAGAAATATGAGGGTAAGAAGCTATGTGGAAATAATATCAGGTCTCGATTACAAAATCCTAATTTATAGCAGAAAGTACTATAAAGAACACGCTGCTTTATCAGACATATTGGTGGAAAATGTGTTGTCCCAACATGATTCACGGACACTCAGCATGGGGAGGACAGAAACCAACAACCAACTTTCCTGGAAACATCTCATAGTCGAAGGTTTTTCGACTCACTTTCCCAGGACATGGAACATTGCTTTTGTCAGACCACCGTGTCCAATAAATCCTACGATTCAACAGCAATTTTCATTTAAAACCAGACAGACAGCGAGACGTTACCTATTCTGTCTGTACCTGACAGTACTTGGAGAGGTGGCTAACTGAGGTATCCAAAAACTGTCTAAAACTTGAAAAGGAAATATGATCAGTCCTTGTTAATAACGGAGTGGATAATATTTTTGTGCCGTTTAGTCATGCTGCTTACGATATATTGTCTTATTCAAATCTCTCTTATCCTAATTGGACAAACTACAGTTACATCACAAGGTGACCATGTGGAATTTAATTTTTTAATTTCCACCAAAGCACCATTGCACAGTCTAACAAATGTTGGCCTGCTACTGTTGTTGCTTTCTAACTGATAAGTTGTTAACTTAAATTCAAGCAGCTGTTATGTTTTCTTTCCATCCAATTGCTTGTCATTAAAGACCACTCGATCTAGAAATAGACTTATTTTGTCCCAATAGTAATAAATGAAGGAACGTCACTGCTTTGTGGACAGAGTGGTTTCTGTATGTGACCAGATATGTAATCAGTATATAAGTATATACATATAGATCTGAATGGATAGTTAGAGACTGGTAAATGTGGCTCGACAAGTTCAGACTGGTTTCTGGATGCTGGTGGAGAAATAGTGAACAGGGATTCTCACCACTGGCGTCCTCCTGCCTCGTGCTGCTGGACTGTGTAACCAAACTGGCTTTCCTTAGAACCAGAGAAGATCTTGAAGTTCTTTGTGTCGAAGTTGAAGCAGGGCTGAGGATCTGAAACACAGAAGACGACACTCGGTTCACACAACATGCTCCTAACGGCTGTTACAGTAACTTCGTTTCTCGAGGGAAGGTTCAGCAAACTGGAAGCTGCCCAGTGTAACCAGTCCACATAAATCACAGCTATAACTACAGACAGAACTTTAATCAACACATTCTCAATCCCAACTCGTCACATATGGACGCTTGGTCAGAATCCCTTGGTGTCACTTTTTAACACCCTGTGTACACTTTAGCATTGTTTTTGCGCATGTAGGGCTCAGTGGTCAATTCAGAAAGAATGAGTATGCAACAGCACGTGGTTAGTATTGTGAAACATCACAATTTGGTTAGGTTTAGGCACTAAAGATACTTTTTTAGATTAAGGAGCACATCATGGTTTGGGTTAAAATAACTATTACTTATGTGAGTTAAACTGCGCAACGTATGTTACTTTTTGAATTAATGAATTAACGTTGACTTTTTGTTTCACACATGAAACAAACAAAAGTCTCCTGGGGGAAAGTCCAGTTTCTGACCCACCCACCCACCTATCCACCTCCTTACCCTGACTTTTCTATTATTTCTATACTACATCTACCTTTGGCGTTCAACAATATTGGACTTTTCCCACTTTGCTGAACTATGGCGCTAAAGGGATTCCCAATTCATTAAAAACTGAGGCCAAGGGGTCTTGATTTTGTGTCCAAATGGGATGACCTGGGCGTGAGAATGTGTTTGCATAACGTATTTTTTGTCTTTGTGTAGAGAAATAGTCCATGGATCTTGGCAGCAGACAAAAACTTACAGCTAGTATTTCCTACACTCACATGAGCAGGAGGAAGTACTAAAAATCAAAGCTGCAGCTACAACAGAGATTGGGATCACTCTTTCTTGGAAGAACTGTTGCGCTATCACTCCATCACCCCTCACCCTGTCCACCTACAGATTAAAGCCACTGCTAAATGGAGAAGGTTTATGCTCCTTTTTTAGGAATGTTGAGGGGAAAATAGCTTCCACAAAATGAAAATTACACTTCATCAGGAAAAGATCTCCTGGAATCAGACTAGAGTCCCTCTAGGCTGGAATCCAGATTCTATTTCCCCTTCACTTTCCCACAGAAAGGCAAGAATGAAAATATTAAATCACACACAGGTGTTCCTGATGTTTTGTCCTTCCCCACAGGTATATGGAGGGACCCAATACTGTAAACAACAAAATATTTCTTAAATGATCCAGTCCTCCACAGCGCTATCATACTAAAAACATAAAATAATGGTGATTTGAGTCAGTGACAGTAGCTACAGCTACAGGAAAACAAAAATATAGGTTGTTTGTGCAGCACGTTATTACGACCCATATTTACGTTTATTGTGGCAGAGACCTCTAGTGGCTATACAACACTGCTGTTACAGGCTTTTCAGATGTTATTGACCGAATGGATCACATTCTGATAGCGAAAGGATTCATTTCACTCTGGTTGTGACGCTCAAATATCCACGCTGTTACAGCCGCTAGTAAAATTTACTTCAAAGCACGGAGCACTTCCGGACGGCTCAGAGGCATTGGGAGGCTACCCAGCCAACCAATCACAGTTCTTACGGTCTGCGTCGCCTCGGCATGTAGTTACATTTTTGAGGTGGTGCACGTCAGGCTACGGCGTAGGGTACGGGGCTATGCGTAGGACGTAGGGCGTAGGCTACGCCATCGATTCGAAGCAGAAGCATAAACTTTTTGGGCAATGTTGCTGGGCAATGTTGCTAGTGGTAAATCCGTTTTGAACGGCGGTGTGGCAGAGTGGTGGAGGAAGGGGATTACAGTAGTAATCTTTACTCGTTACCACTGACGGCAACATTGCCCTGCATCATTGCTTTAATAACTTATCATCAGCTTTAAGCTGTAGTTAAACACCCCAGTTATACAAAACAGACTAGTTTTGTTGCCCAAACCTAACCCAGTGTTTTTTGTTGCCTAAGTAGCAGTTGCGTTAGTTAGTTGGTTGGTTAGTGGTCAAAATATAAGACGAGAAAAAAAAGTCTGGAAATTTAGTATAAAAAAGTGGTTGTGGTCTTTTAGTCAAGGAAGAGACAATTACGTGGACGATTTATGGAACTAAAATAAGCATCTAAATCAGTTTGCTTTCCTTCTTACTCAGAACTCAGCGACAAAGTATGCTGCTGTTGTTGACATTTCTTTTGTTTTCTTTTTAGTATTTAGAGACGATGAACAGTACATGTAATAACCAGTATGTCTTTATCTCCTTTGAACTGTTGGAGCCATATTCATGACGTGTAAGAGCTGTAGACATCTCTTGTTTGAGTCCGATGACAATTTAAATTCAGTGACTGCTCCTGGATATTTGGATTCATCTGCAGCTTCAGCCTCCTTTCCTCAATTTGATTTTCTTTCATACCATCAAACTAGACACGTGGAGGTGGTGGAAAATGAGCAGTCTTCTTCAAAAGCTTGACAGAAGACAGAACCTCATCAGAGACCCTTCACCTCACACTTATACACCTCCCTGCTCTTCCTCTATCCTCGTCCTCTTTCCTGCTCCTGCACCAACCGACCCTGGACCTTCCTCTGGTTTCTATTAAAATCTTTATCGGGAAGGTTGGTTGACAGGAGGAGGGAGGGAGGGAGGGAGGGAGGGAGGGAGGGAAGACTTGAAACACTGCTAAGTCTGACAAAAACCCAGATAATGAAGGATGAAAATGACGTCACTGCACTTTTTCAAGTTGATTTTCCACGGCAGGAAACTGAGAACTTCCTGGAAAAAGGAAATTATTTCATTCTTTCAACAAAAGTCAAATGAACAAGGATAAATAAATTTGGCAAAGGAATAAGGCATTCTTCTTCTATCAGATCATTACAATGATTTCAATAGAGGAAGAGTGTCTTCATTTTTCCTTCCTCATGGTTTTGCTCTCAGAGCTCCGGTGACCTTCCAACTATTTCAGCTTTTTTCTTTTCTGCTCAGTTTCTCTCCAGAAACTGTGTCACTCTCTGAATTCAGAGCAGCTGTGTAAAGACAGAAGTTTATAGATTATAGAAATCTGTGTTATATCTGTTTAATTTTAACTTCTGTAATTGGATTTTTTATTAATGCAACATAATTAGCATAGATAGATTTGTAACTGATAAAAGAGAAGAGTTAGAAACAGCTTTTAAAATCAGATCTACAGTTCAGAGCAACATAACAACATTCACAGCTGCGCTGCATCAGTTCTTTGTGGCAAAATGTCTTGGTGGGGTACGACTTTATAAAATGAAATTATGGCAAACAAAGAGAAGTGAATCTGACAGTTGAGGCATCAACTGCATCAGAGAAAGCTGTTTGAGTCTACAGAGGTCCATATTCAACAAGTTTTAAATGTCAGTTTTTATACCCCAGTTTGTTCTGTTGTTCTAATATTTTCTTTCTAATTTTAACTTCGAGAAAGAGGATATTCATCTCTTCTATTCCCATCTCATTGTATCTTCTTTTAGCCTGACCTGGCTTGACATCTGTTGTCAAGACAAGATACTGTTTTGACATCCCATCTAATCTCACTTCATCTCATCTCTTGTCTTGTCACTTTATCTCTGTCCTATGCAACACATTCTCACTCCCGACTCGTCACATATAGACGCTTGGTCAAGGCCCTTTGGCGTCGCTTCTTAACGCCCCTTTAGCGTCAACTTCAGACGTTTAGGGCTCCACGGTCAAGTTAGCAACGCTTAGCAACAACAAATATGCAACACCCGGTAAAGTTATCAAAATAAATATGCCAAGTCCGGTTAAACTTTCAAAATAAATCACTAGCGTTTGGAAACATCGCCATTTTGAAACGCCACGTGTTAAAGTTGTGAAACGTTGCAACTTGGTTAAGTTTAGGCACCAAAACTACTTGGTTAAGGCTAGGAAAAGATCATGGTTTGGGTTAAAATAACTACGTAGGTCAGTTAACACGGAAGAACACAGACTTATGTCACTTGCGTATCTTACTCAATTTACGTAACTTGCGTAACTTAAATAAAAATATTAAATGTTGACTGTTTGTTTCACACGGGACACTGGCCCTGCATCCACTCCAACGTCCTCCTTACTCATTCTCTTCTGTTAAATTTCATACATTTACTGTCAAAACCTGACGCTACAGGGCTTCCCCCACTGCGCTACAGGGATCCGCAGTATGTTACAAACTGACGCCGATGGCTCTGGACCATGCGTCCACATGTGACGAGTAGGAGAGTGAGAGCGGTTTGTCCTCTCAACTTGTCCGCTTCATGTCATTTGATTCGATCTGTACTTTCTTCCCGATAGGTTTGTCTCATCTCACTTTGTTTTGATTTAATCTCTTGTCTTAACTCATCTAGTCACATTTAGTTTTAGTTTTCCTTGCTTCAGTTGTTCTTATCTAATCTCGCTAAATCTAAATCTGATTTTATCTCTGTGTTCCCCTCTGGATTCTTGTTTTTCTTATGTGACCAAGTGTTCTTAATCTGATTTATATAATCTAGCCAAAACTGTCTCATCTCATCACAATGTGCGTTTTTTTATCTTCAACAAATATTTTCACAGTCCAGGTCATCTTCATTCATCCCTTCTTTTCTCAACTCATCTCATCTAATCTTGTTTCATCTTCCTCCTCTGTTTTGTAGTTTAATCTAAAGAGACATTACTGAACTGACTTAAATCGATTCTTGCTTGTCAAATCTAATCTCATCCAGGTCAGATTTTAAGAGCCACAGAGAGGTTTTCCTGTAAATGTAATGTGCCATCCTTACAACTCTTACTGCTTCTGCTTTAGCGTCCTTGAGCCCGGTGTTCATTTCCCACCAGCCTTTGACCCTTAGACCCCCCCCCCCCCCCCCATGACCCTGTGACCTTTGTGGTCTTTCGCCGTGTGCTGAAGTATTTCCTCTGAGCGCTCCGTCTCCTCCAGCTGTGTAAATGAGCACAGCAGTGAGGCAGCAGCGATGAATTAGGCTACAGAGGACAAAAATAAAGCACACTGGAAAAGAGGAATCAT